GACAAGTTCCTATGTGTGGGAAACATAAGAGGAAATACAACCATCTAAAATTCCATCGTTTTCCCAAAGATAAAAAAAGCAAGTTAATATTAATATGTACTGTCGTGGACAAAAGTTCGCTCCTTCCCAAACTGAAGCAGTATGGACCCGCACAGCACACCCTCACCAGATAACAATCAGGGTAAGTCAGTTCGGAGACTCATTCCCGTGTCCCAGTTTCACTACAGGGAGCGAACTTTTGTCCACGATAGTACGTGCTTTGTGGAAATTAAGTTATATAATCACATTCAGTGCTGGGTCGTTTTAGCGAATCCAGGTAAAATAGTCACACAATAAAGAGTCGCACAAAAAGAGTAACCTAACCCATCCTAACTTAACTTAACCTAACCTACGTGCATCATATATAAATTGTGTTGTCATTATGTAAGTCATGTATTGTCAGTTAATAACTGTTTTAAAATATTTTTTTTTTAGTTTTATTACCTTAAATGTGACTTTTTTCCTAGCCAAAATTGTTACTTTTTGTGTGACTTATTTTCCTGTGACTTTATTACCGTTCACCGTTTTAGCACCTGACCTGGAAATGAAGGGGTAAAAATATTAACATTACATATTTTAATCCCAATTAGTGAGAATGAGAGAAAAATCTAACTTAAAATGTAATTCAAATATAAGATGAAGCATAATTAAATATACGAAAATAAATATAAACAAAAGTGCTTTTGGAAGCCACGAAGAAAATAATAAATTAAGGGGAGTTCAATTTCCTTCCTCTACAGTATATTCCTTGGTCCCGTCTTATTCGTGACTACAGTTATCGGTAAATTCACAACTAATGAGGCTCCGTTTAGTATGGGAATACGATTCTTTTGACTGCGTTTAATGCTTTTTTTTTTTTTTACAAGACTACCAGTTATTTGACAGTGAAATCTTTTTCAAGGGCCAAGGAACAATTCTTGGTGACCTTTATCAAGAACTTTCCTCCTGAAATACAAATGAGCTGTTACCCCGGGTACCAGTATTACATTAATTACCATCAAAACCAATCATCCAAAACAAAAAACTCACAAAACACGAAAATTACGTTGATGCACAAGGAAACTGATGTGTTCTTCCCCACAAGAAATACGCCTTGTTTCATTTTATTCCTTGCAGCAAAAATGGAGCTGTCAAGTTCGGGGAGACATTTTGTAATATTGAAGATGAAGTGTGAAAAGCGCTCGCTCGCGCTCTCTCTCTCTCATGATAACTGCAGTTCGATCTCGTCTATGTAACAAGACATGAGACAGTGCTAGAAATTATGTATTTACACTGAATCCGTATTCATTCTATTTTTCAAACAGCAAAAACATACTATGTAAAGTTACTAAGCACTGATCGTCCGTATTGCAAACATAAGACGATAATAATGGTGAATCGGGGGGTCAGCCATGTTTACATAACCGAGAGGGGAAGGTAACGAGGGTCGGCCAACAGTGTACAACTCATTACTCACCTGCTGTTGAAGGTTAGCCAACTTCGCTCTCTCTCCTCCACCATATACTCCTCCCCACCCGCATGCTGTCTACACACAACAGTTCCGTTCCCCCCTCACCTCCCCCTACATAGCAATAACCTTATTAGTCCCAGCACTAACATTTTCCCGCCAACCTTTATCATGTTTACCTTCCATCTTTACTCTGTTCCCTCATTAGTCCTTACCAAGCCAATTAATATTTATCCACACCCTCCTCCCTGTCGTTACTTTACTTCCCCAGTGTTCTTTTGATAATTCTAACTTCACTGTCCATCGCCTGCACCTTACTTCTCCCTCCTTTCCTCTCTTGGTGTATGTACCCTCTTTCTTTCCCCACCTCATTTACATCCCTTCCCCTTTTTACAAAAAATTTCCTCTGGTTCTTCCTTCCCTTAAGAGTCAAAACAAAGCAGCTTACAATACCTAGTCCCCTCCCCTACAGCAGCATCACTCCGGCACCTACCTCAGTTATGGGAGCTGGTGATGTGTGTGTGTGGTGGCAGCGAGAACCAATAACAACCCCTCTACATGCACAAGCTTTCCTTCTCCACCAGGGTGAGACACATACTGCCAAGGTAATGGGATGGGTGGCAGCCAACCACCACTACCTGCCGCCCGCCACCACCACACTGACCTGCTTCCCCATGCCTAATTACATCAAACGTGAGCAGATAGAATAACTAACAGCCATTACTACAGTCTTGCCTACTGTGGTAAAAACAAATATTTGGAGAACATTTTCTTCAAGTTATAAATGAAACGAAGCAAAGTTGTCATGTGTTCCTTAAAATTATCACTATAGCTCCCGCATCTCCACCACCTCCCCTTCCTCAATGTCACCACAATGTCACACCCACACACAATAACCTTCACCATCCACTAGGAGGACGGAGAACATTTTCACCATCACCCTATGAATCTGAGACTGAGCAACTATTTTTTTTTCATACGTCAAAAGTGGAACAAAGGAACAAATATCTTGGTCCTCGAAAGGAGTTTTAGTACAATAAATTTTATGTGGTTTGATTGATTCAACACAATCCCCAATTTAAGAGTCCTCTGCCAAAGACACTGTGATATGTTAAGTCTACATTTGCGTCAGGGTACACAAGTACTGTACTTCCATTCTACCATTAACGAAATCTTCATACTATTACTACTACGATCTGCAACCCCGGAATATTATGAAATTTTACTGTTTTGCTTATTATGTAATGTGGCCTATTATGATACACGACTGTATTAACAAGGTTATCATTAGGCATCTACAGCTGTTCGTCCTGGCCAAGTTAACACCTACTGCACCAACTCACCAAATAAGTATAAACTACTTCCCAGTTGTATATCTAATTAACTGTGAGTATCCGTATAAATTTATTTCTTGGTACACAATGGAGTTTTCGCCTCTGAAAAATATCATGCGGCTGTAAACAATGTACAGTACTTAATTTTGATTCAGTTCAATTAAATTGTGCGCCCTTGTTAATAGCTCAAATAAATAATTATTTCCAATGATAATATCATAGAATAAGTATTAATAATAGCAGCAGAGTATTAAATTATTAATACAACAGGTAGCTTCGGAGACGGCCGTAGATGGGTCCAACGAATTACCCAAAAGTATATTAAATCAGGGTAAAATCTTAACGAATATCTGTTATACATACACAAACATGTTTAATAATATTTTTAGTGTAATTTTGTAAAAATAATTTGTAAGATGAAATAATAAACAGCGAAAAACTTTCAGTATTGGCGAACGCTAAATTCCAAAGAGTTCGTGAACAAGGGAGATAACTCAGATCCATCGTGATGCACTTCGCTAACCTAACCTAACGAAAAGTAAATCCAACGGCTATGTTAAATACCCCAAAGTAACAGAAACATCGGAAATTATATGTCCATTTTGGATAGGCGACTCTTTGGAATTTAGCGTTTTTCGCGGTTTATTATTTCATTATTTTGACTACATTTCAATGAAAACATTATTAATCAGGTTTATTGATGTAAAACATATATTCGTTAAGATTTTACCCTGATTTAATATACTTTTGGGTACTTTTGGGTAATTCGTTGGACCGCCGTAGATAGTTTGGTCAATTCGGTGACATGCGGGCGCATGTTGTTACTTAGCTGATGAAGTTTGTGCTCGTACTGTAGAGGCTGGTTATGTTTACTTCGTAAAATTGTCATACATGTTTACAATTGAATACGCATGTTTATAAATTATGTGGGAGACAGCCCGAGAAGACCTTCCACCCGCTGAGTAACAACATGGTGCCACCTTGACCGAACTCTTATCTATATCTGTGGACGCACTGATTAATGCGCGCCATTTACAGTAGTTGCGCTCTTAAAATATTTCGTTTAGTAAACACTTTCTCCCTACACATTATAGAATCAACAATATCTGATCACCCATAACCTTAAAAATACCCTAATTTGTTATCACGGCCTCCAGACGTTCTTTTCTTCACAAAATCTAAAGTAATCACCCAATCAGACCTGTTTTTCGCTTTTTCGTACCTGTTGTTAATGTGTACAGGACAAAATGGAACCAATATACGATTCATTACCACACCTTTACAAGCAACACCATCAACTCCCCACAGAAAAATTTTAGTCACATTATTCTTACAAATGACACAGCGATTGAGAAGAAAAATTGAATCCACTGTAGGCATGGTGTCAATCACAACATGTTGGCAAGGTGCCCAGCAAGGACCCCACTTACCAACATTAATATTTTATTTCCCCTCTTGGGCTCTTACAGTTATATAAAACATCTTAAATTTCAGTTGACTGTAGTGTCGTAGACGATAACATCACTAAAGCCCATCATACATATTCTTCACCTCTCGTACTGTACTGGTTAGTCACGTCGCCTCCATTCCCAAGTGAGCGGTTTGTCACGCCAGCTCATTTTCCTCCTTTATCCCCTCACCCTCTACTACCGCCACCTTCTCTATTTCCTCCAATTTACCTCTCCCCGCCAACCGGTTCTTGCACTCTCCTTCCACTAGAGTACCTTAACAAAACTATGGCAAATAGGAATAAATGACAATAAACTACACCGACTGTAAATCTGTACTAGTTATATCAAGGATTTCTGGACTCAGGGAGTCACTATAAACGTATTTTTTACACAAATTCCAAAAACAGTATAATTCTAACTCTGAATCATTGATACGACCCTTTAAAGCACAGCAAGGGAATTAAATGTTAGGAATTACTGAAGTTACTACTGTACTGTACTGTACCTGAATTTACTTACTTGCCAGTGATCGTTCTGGCTGGCGTCGCTACCCAATCTATTGCAAAACCCAACCAGATTGGGCTTTGCCTCTTGGCATCGGTGTGTTGACAGCAGTGGGGGGGAGAGAAGTACGGTACAAGATGGGATAAAAGTAAAGTAAGTAGGGAGGAAGGAAGCTCTAGTACCACAGATACTTTCAGAACTGGTCAGAAAATTTAGAAACATCACTGTACTCAGTGATAGCAAAAACTATCAGGTAGCTCCACCAACCCCTCCCCAAATTTCTGAATATGAAGAGTGATCAGTGGTTACAGTTTGCCAGTGCCAAGAATACCCCTACCCCTTCACTTGCCCTCCCTCACCCCAACCACCTTCTAATCATCTTCCCGGGCATGCAGGCAGGAGCAGCAGCAGTGCCAGGTAGGGCGGGAAGGAGTGCACATCCACCCTTAATGCAGACCACTCAAGAGTCCTCCTGTTCTTATTAATTAATGGGTATGCATATATTGAACATGTACCCTAGTGATATATGTACTGTAAAGGAGTTCATCTTATGTCATGATCTCATTGTAACACGAAATTACAGAGTATGGAGTGCTATATTAATGCCATTGTCTCAAAGTAACGCATTTTCATCCCAGTGCAAACTTGCTCACTACCCCACAAAAAAAGTGTGGTTACCCAGTGTAAAGCAGTAAACCACCGTGTTACAGTGTAAATGTAAGTGATACCTCCAAAGAAAGTTACTGTGTACTGTAACTGGATATCCCAGTGTTACATCACATGCCAGAGTCGCTCCCAGTGTAACACTGCAATGTTAAGTTATAATACCTGTACTGTATAAGGAAATACAGTAACTGTTGTAATGTATGTGTGCTACTTGACAAACATTACTATACAGTGTAACACTAGATTTGTGCTACAATATTAATACCATACTGTACTTGCAAGTACCTGTTGTGTCTCCCCTTTAACAACACTGACTGGCAGTTTATATCACATCGCTACCCAATTACTGTGTTCAATACGTGAGTTTTGTTTTACTGCATAATACTGTATTAAGCTACAACCACAGTGAATCAGCAGAGAAATTACAGGTTTTACTGTATACCAATCTGGCTACCTTCACACAAACTTTCAGTACTTACTCAACTATCAATAAAAGACTAACCTGCATAAGATCTTTCACATCGGAACAATAAAGCACATAAAGTACAGTAACGGAGCAGACCATCCATCCAAATAACTAGTAAGCTTGAAAAGTGGTGAAACGATAAATGCTGTAAATAAAAATTTTGTTTTGTCTCAAATCACAATGACAACACAGAAGACAAATTCCATATCTATATTCATGCTGAGAACCAATGTGCAGTAGTATACAGTACGAATACAAGTAACTCCAGAATGTTTATTTCACTTGCCTGGAACAGTAATGAACTTATTCGATCATTCATGATCTCCGTATACAGTATTAGAGATTGTGGAGTTCAAGAGAGATTGAACTGCATATTTATGCAAATTTGGATTTATTGATACAGTAATGAACCTCCTTCAGGTGGCGATTTTATCATCATACAGGTACCGGTATTATTATTCTCATTACCAGATATTATTATTGTTGTTATTATTACTGTACCAATTAGTATGTAATACATCTAGCATAACAACTCTCAGTTACGTGAGGCAGTATTCACTTAAAGAGTTGTCTATATAAAAAACGAAGGTGATTAAACCAGCAAACCTTGAAAAGGACTGACTTTGACCCTTACATTATATCTGCTTGAAGGTACAATACAGTTAATGAATGTACAGTCGTCGGCCACAGAAATAAGTATACACACTGTATGTTTAAGGTCCGAAAATGGTCTGGTAACGTTGAAACTGCGCATCCAGACGCATGATGAGCCTCGGCTCCCCCCACTTGTTATCTCTTAACTATTTTCGGTTTCCCTGTAGTGGATTCCTCCCCTACAAACACTGTTTGTCGCTGGGTAGCCGACGCCGCGAATTCCCCAGTGTATGCCTCGTGGTCTAGGTCAACCAGCGCCGCCATACATCACGGAGGTCAACTACTAAGCCACGCCTACCTCCGCTATTTAAGACCTGACCTCGTTGTGACCGCCCTCTTTCTACCTACACCAACCAGCCAGCAACACCACCTCCTCCGCCTGCCTGGCGGTCCTCGCTCCCGCCGGCGAGCATGGCGACCCACAAGCTTGCCCTCCTCTGAGCATCCTCACCAACCAGCTCTCTCTATATCAAGCTTGTAACCACGCTGCCACTTCCCAGCACCAAGCTGCATTGTATATCCAATACAACATGTACAGAGAGAGCACATTGTGAGTTTCCTTTCTCCATCCCATCCTGAGTGAGAACCCAAATACCACCATACCCCACATCCCCTTTTTTATTCTTCTGTTTACTCCTCTTCCTTCCTTTACTAATCCAAACATCAGTAAAAAAAAAAAAGTAGGGTGAGAGAAAAGGTGGGGGGAGGAGGAGGGAGCTGTATGATAAGTGCAATCCCACTCGGCAACAAGTTTACTGCCATTGGATAAAATATATTACTTGTAATATAAACACAAGACACTAGTAAAACATTCACAACAAATGTATTTATAACATATATGTAGGAATAAAACATAAATTACAGGTCATTTTTGTAATTTTGTCTGTTCTGTTAAGGACAGTGTTACCAGATATATTTTGTCTCAAACACGAACCGTAGGTGTATACTTATTCTTGTGGCCGACTGTACATGAACCCTTTCAGGGCCTTGCGAAGTACTGTAGTATTGTACATTCAAAAAAGTTGGTTGTATCTTCATATTGCCTTACACAGTTCTGTATACAGAGTACAGTAGTACTGGAAAGAAAATAATGTCACAAAGTACAAGGGACCAGTTTGCAAGCTCACAGTACAGTAAATGTATTTAGCTAGAGTGTATTAAATTTAAAAGACAAATACTGATATGAAGATTTCACATTAAAAAAATTATTGTACAATACTGTACAAGGCTATCAAGACCAAAACTCATGTATCTTTACTTTATCCTCTTTGCCACTGATCAGTCTGTCAGTTGCTTGGGCAGTCAGTCACGTCTCTGTTATGCACTGGCTCCATAATGTATCTGTGCCTGCACCAGTGTTGGTCAAGTCTGGTCTTGAATAAGCTCTCATTTTGTGCCATCACAATGCTCTCTGGTAGGTTGTTCCAAGAGTTCACAAATTTCATTACAAAAACATTTACCCTGGCATTATTCCGTGGCTTCTTCAACCTGAGGCTGTGATCCCTAGTGGTATGGACATCTGCTAGTTCCAAGTACAAACACTTGAGTAATGCCCTCCGAGATGTTGATAGACTTCTATAGTCACTCCTTGCCCACCTATAGCATAAGCTAGGCAATTGGAGGCATTCTGGTCTCTCTGGGAGCCTGCGCATAGGCACCAGTCTGGGGCATTTTCAATCAACTAAATTATTTGATTGAAAATGCTAACTATTGGTACAGCAATAGTCTAGCATATCTCAAGAACCAAACAGTGTGACAGTACAGGGTACTCCAAATTGGGGAAGCACTTCACTCGTGAGGAGCGTTATGAGAATGAGAATGCCCTTCTCATATTACTGCACCTACTAGCCCATTTGCTTAATTTAACTGCTTCTCACAATGATTCAAGAACTTTAGGTCCTTTTCACATTTGGTCTCTGTTAATGAAGTTTCTTCATCCTATTGGGACGACCTCTATGCATCCTTTTGCATTTCGTGACATTGAATCTTAACATGCATTCCTTTGGCTTCTCTTGAAGCTGACAGAGATCTTCCTGTAGCATTTCACAGTTCATTTGGTACCCTGTACTTAATTTCCTTAAATAACTCAGCATCATCTGCAAACATGTGCATAGAGGAGTGTAGTATAGCTTCTGAAGCAATGATTGAAAGCTTAGTCTCCATAATCTTAGGAAATATAGTACTGTACTGTGCTGTGCTGGGTACATGATTTATCTAAAAGCAGGAATGATTGGCTTTGTTTCCAATTAACATATCAGTGCTAGACTGAATATACTGACACCAGCAATAATAATACTGTACTTAGAAGTCTAATTTAAATGAAAGCAAATTTTTCAGGGAACATGAATTTTGTATTGTACTCTTATGGGTCCATTGTGCACAGGGCCATCAATATTAACTTACCTGGTCCTTTGATACCAAAGTAATTCATCCAATTATTTACTACAATTAAAAGAGCCTTTTATCATTCTTTATGTTGAAGGGAAATATTTTTCAATAAAATATTGTCTTATTCTAATTCTATTAACTTGCCAAAAATAAATATCTGCATCAGCCAAAACTATAAAATGTGCCAACAATTTCACTACAGTACTGTATAGACCAACTGCCCAAACAATCCAGTAAACCTATAAAAGGTGAAATGATAAACATTAAAATAAAATATGGAATTTTTAGATGAAAAAAATTTAATTATAAAGATTTTTTAGCTCTAAACATGCAATGCTGACACAAACCTTCACCAGCCGTTTGATCTGACGGTGATACTTAAATTTAATTGCTAATGATATGATTTTACCTTTTTTCCAGGAAAGCCATGCACACTATATGATGCATTAAGTTTTCATTGGGCTCCTTCAAGCAACCTTGGCTATGGATTTCGTTGAAATGAGTCGGAGAGAATGATATGAACATTCAACATATAAAGCCAAGAGAAGAGAAAGATAAGTTAGACTATTGAGGCATTACAGGTTTGATTGTCATAAAGATTTATAATCACTGAATCAACATGAACAATGAAATTGCCTACTCAATTACAGTACTACAGTATAAGCCATTTTTCAGCAAATTACTTCACCAGAATCCCTCTTACCCATCCACTGACAAATTTTTCATAGCAATTAAGACTTTTGTAGTTCATTAACTACTTTTTAATGTACAGGCTTTGTGAAAATCGAGCCACTCGTTTCTTTGAATTTCGTATGAATCACAGGAGTCCAAATGCCTACCCTTTTCTTAATATCTTTTCCTAGATTCATGTTAGTCTGTCATAATATCCTGCTAACAAGCCCCTTTAAGCCCTTCCAATGCATCTTTTATTGCTTTAACATTTGCCATGCTTATTTTATTACAAGACTTTGTAGCTATCCTCGGACACGTATCACTCAAAATAACACAGTTGCATCTTAAACATGACAGATAGTAATGTGTCAGTGTAAGGAGTCTATACCACACCACTGTACACATTATTTTGCTATGGAGCATCTGTCATAAACTGAAAGTGCAACATCTAACATGAAAAAATTCAGCATTACTGTTCTTTCATGTACAGGCAGCTACCAAACAGGGAGGTACTACTCCCTGGGAAGATATTGTAAGCATTATGTATTGTCTAATGGTAGACCCTGCTGCCATATGACATCACAAAAATTGTGACCAGTCCCAGGTTGCTGAAATGTCTTTCTGCCTCATTTACACACAATTGCAGGGTGTTAATTGTCTTTCTTACTATTGACAACACAACATATACTGTATAACCATACTCACTCTTGATCTGTTTTATTCTTTCTATTCTTTTATTCTCCTATGATATCAGTTGACAATAATATTAAAGCGGGGCCTTCTCGGATGAGTCCCACTGGTCAGGAAGGTTGTGGACCCCAGGGTCAACCTGATCATCATCAAACTACTGGGGCCTCAACTGACGTCACCGTGGTTGCTGAAGGACCGTTTTTTTCACGCTTCATTTTACCAACATTCGCGGCCTGAGATCCAATTTTCCTTCTGTGGAGCACCATCTATTAACCTCTTACTATTATCTGAACTTCAACTGACAAAGCAGCTGCACCCAAACCTTTTTAAGTCTCCAACTATAACCTTTATACCTCTTTCCATTCTAAGGGAGGTGTATGCGCCTACTGCAACACACGTACACCTATAGCTCTACTCACGGATCTTGAATCTTCTCTTTATGATGTCATCTGGCTCAAAATATCTCTACCAACTATGACTGTTCGTTTTTGTTTCCTATACTGTTCTCCCAACTCTACCAACCATTTAGAACTCTTTGACTATCTCACTTCTTGCCATGAGTTGTTGCTATCCACACACCCCAACACCAAAATCCTCTACCTGCAAGGGATGACCCAGGTGGAGCTGAGGCACTCTCTTTTTCCTTACTTAATGATCTGGAACAAATAATTAAACACCCTGCACGCGTTCCTGATCACTCCGATCTACTTACTAACATTCTTGATCTTTGTTTTACCTCTTAACCCCTCAAATTATTTATACTCAATTTCTGCCCCCTTATGGTCTTCTAATCACAATCTTATTTCTATTAAATCAAACTGGGCACGACCACCTCCCCCTACCCCCTTTAAACGCCAAACAGGGAGGTACTACCGCCTGGGAAGATATTGGAAGCATAATGTGTTGTCTAATGGTAGACCCTGCTGACATATGGCATCACAAAAATTGTGACCAAGTCCCAGGTTGCTGATCTAACTTTCTGCCTCATTTACGCACAATTGCAGGGTCTCAATTGTTTCTTTTACCATTGACAACACAACATACATATATTGTTTCTCACTCTTGATCTTTTTTTCTTTTCGTTTTTTCTTTATGGTTCTTTATTATTATTACAGTGTTATTATTATTATTGTTATCATCATTATTTTATTTATTTTTTATTATAAATTTTACTTACCCGAATTATTATTATTACAGTACTGTACAGTATTATTATAATTATTATTATTACTACATTTTTGCTCCCCAGGTCCCGATGTGGGACAGTGACCTGTGCCTAGGTGGGCTAATCCCCATAAAAATAAAAAAATAAAAAAAACTATGGCACTATCAGAGGGCAAACTTCCTTGCGAGAATTCTTTTCCGACTTTCCCTGGGAAGAATGTTGCGTTTTCCACTCGGGACGCCTCGGTATGTGCTGACAGCATTGCTGGGGTTATACAGGGTGGTATACAGGGCAGATTATTGGCCCTCACCTGTATCACTTGTATCAATTGTATCACTATCCACCACAGAGGCTTGCAGGGCCTCTTTGTCAAACCCCTCAAAGTCCATACAAGTTCATATCCTCACTATCATTATCACTATCACTGACTTGGGCCGGCTGTGGTGGGTGAAGAACTCGGTAATGTTTTGATGACTGGGCGACCTTGTGCGCACCCTGCTCGCGCCGCTCTCTGCGTAAAAGAGTACACACACCGCGGAAAGTGAGCATTCCGGTTTCGGCAGGGTACCGCGTAAACGTGGAAACGTGTAAAGTGGGACCGCGTAAAGCGAGGGTTGACTGTATATATATTTTTTATTTTTTTCCCACTTAAGAAAGTATACAAGTTTGCAGGTGCAGTGCTATGTATACAGTATATTTTTTTGTTTATTTCTAACTCAGCCCATCAGTGGAAGTGTCAATGTAAAGTGAAACTTATGTGCATGTACTTAATTCTTACTCAGCCAATTAGCGCAAGTCTCGATGTCATGTGAATTTAAATAAGTGGGAAGATGGTTTTTGCCTGGAAGGGTTACTCATTGGAAGACTGCCGCGGATTGAGATGCGTTTTAGTTACACCATGGAACTTCATATTTCTATTTACAGTATATAGGGATAAAGAAAAATCCTTTATTCAATAACGTTTCCATTGCAAATTTGTGTGTATTTTAACCGATAATGTACCCCCAATTACCAACAATATTGATTGTTCAAAGTGGGCGGGGCTTTGAAGTACAAGTAGAGGGAAAATGTGGGGTAAAATACTAAAACGAACACCACAAAAACTTTTTATAGGTTAGGTAAGGTTTTCAAAGGTTTGTTTGGTGTTATTTTTAGTATTTTACCCCACAATTTTGCTCTACCTCAAAGCCTCGCCCACTTTGAACAACCATGATAATTGGTAATTAGGGGGGTCATATCTCTATAAAAGTTCATTTGCAACAAAAATGAAGGTCATATTTGTTTAATAGAACACTAATTACACCAGGAAACCCTATTTTGGTTGGTAGTTTCTAAGGTGTACCTAAAACGAATCTTTACCCTGGCATGTAATTCTATGCGTATTTGAGAAAGAAGCAGCAGCTGTTAACATCTTTAGGTCTCATGGTGTTCTCTTTTGTTCAGTAAAGTGTCCAAGGTGTAATTCAGACTGTCTATCATTCATACACAAAATATAGAACGTCTACTGAAGGACGTCAAAAGTTGGTTGTTTTGTGCCGGCAACAAGAAGAGCATTGCCACCAATATTTTGCTTGGTACATGTTCCAAACTCATCATAAAGATAGTAACACCATGCTGCACCACTTCCTCCTTCAAGTGGCATCACTTTATCCCCCTCCATCTGTTAATTAAGGTATGTTTTGGTTAGGTAAAGTTAGGATAGGCTACATTTACACTCCAGGTCAGGCCCTTCTGGTTTTTCTGGTTAGGTTAAGTTAGACATGTTTTTACGTGTTTTTACTCCACAATGTTGGTAATTTCAGGCGGGGTTATACTATATCTGCGGTATTTTTTTAGTTTCGATCATCTGGAAAACCCTATGAATTTAACCCTCACCAGAAAGAGGGTCCGGGGGGCAAGCCGCCTCCCCCAGTTAGGTTTGACATAGTTCTTAGGTTCTGTGGGTTGGTTAAGTTAGGTCAGGTCAGGTCTGGTTAGCTTAAGTTGGATATATAAATACAGAGATGACTGAAATTAAAATTTTACTGTGTCTCCAAAAGTACAATACCTGTACTACAGTCAACCCTCGCTTTACGTGGTCCCACTTTACGCGTTTACGCGGTACCCTGCCAAAACCGAAATGCTCACTTTCTGCAGTGTGTGTACCCTTTTACGCGGAGTGCGGCGCGAGCAGGGTGCGCACAAGGTCGCCCAGTCATCAAAACATTACCGAGTTCTTCACCCACCACCCACCACAGCCGGCCCAAGTCAGTGAAAGTGATAATGATAGTGAGGATATGGACTTATATGGACTTTGAGGGGTTTGACAAAGAGGCCCTGGAAGCCTCTGTGGTGGATAGTGATACAATTGATACAAGTGATACAGGTGAGGGCCAATAATCTGCCCTCTGCCTCGGAACCAACCGCCCATCCCCGTGTGCCCAGCCATCTTTTCTACTAATGTAAGTGTTAAAAAAACCTAATATTGATATTTCTCTTAATTATTAATTGTGTGTGCATACCATCATAAAATTAAGAAGTTATTTTTACTACAACGTAGGTATTGTGTCTGAAAAAGTGGAGTTTGGGGGTCGGCCCGGTCTCTATTTCAATTAATCCCATATGTTATGTTGTTCACTTCACGCGTTTCTCACTTTACGCGGGCCGCCGTGGGTTGAATTAACCGCGTAAAGTGAGGGTTCACTGTACTCATTTCTGCCAGAAATGAAGGTCTTGTTTGTATGAAAGTGAAAAACACTATAAGCACAGTTTTGAAAGTAATTACTGTGAATGGTCAATATGGTTTATTTACCCAAATATATTGTGTAAAAAAAAAAAAAAAAGGTAAATTTGCATAAGCCCACCCCACTCTGTTAGAAGGTCAAAAATATATTTTTTCTAGTGTATTTGTGTGTGTTTAGACCGAATATGACCTTCATTTCCATCGGAAATTGGCTGGTTTTTTCGATTTTTTTCGTGGGACATTTTCCAAAAAAAAATAATGGCTAAGCGAAAAAAAAATACACCAAAAAACACTAGAAAAACAAAAACCAAACCTAACCTAACCTAACTGACTCTCACAATATGATGGAATCACCTATTTCTTACCTTATTGGCCTGGTTCTTGTTCGTCGTTGGATTTTGAGATTCTTACACAACGCCACTTATGTTGGTCTTTGCGATATTTACATTCAGTCTTGCACTTAGGACACTTTACTGAGGTTGGAAGAACACCATGCGATCGAAAAAATGCTAGAGTTTCTTCGTTTTTTCCCCAAAACTCACAATCAGCTCCATATAATTTAAGTGACACCCATCCCAGACTTCCATGGTCAGAAATGAATTTGAATTTCGAAATATGAGACCCAAAATAAAAATCGAATTTGATTGGGCCAAAAATACCGTGAATTAAATAAAAAAAATTAATTGGTTGAAAAAAAAAAAACGCTTTTGATTGGCCGCGTGACGTGTACGGGAACGCATGATGATTTATGAAGGAGACATGCAGTGTGGGAGGTGAGGTAGGCGATAATGGCGGAAGATTAATGGAAGAAAACAGAATTTTGGATATGCTATCTCCGTTATTATACATTTGCGACGGTAATGTAATAGATGAAAATTATCTTATAATTAGACGTCTTATTCGAATATGATAATAGATTAGTGGTAGGAATGTGGGGTGTAAAAACGCAATAATACCAAAAAAAATTGCTAGTTTAATGGCACCCCTCTTCGTTTTCCTCCTCCCCTGATCTGAATTTGTGCACTAAAACTATGATTTGATAAGAATTTAATGAATAAAATTCATATACTTTATAAGTATATACATATTTTCCGATGATTACAAATTACTTTGACAAAATATCCTTTAAGTAATAAAGTCCCTTGACCTTCACCTGACCTTGGTCGAGGTCAACGGGAGGACGTTAACAGGCGTCTTCTAAAGTAGCTATTGGATCGTACAGTTTAGCGTCTTGGAATTTTTGTACCATGTATTAACAAACGACTATACAAAATCACAAGGTAAGATCACATGTCATTTCTCTCAAACCACTTAATATAGCTCTAGTGCCAACTTTGTTTAGATCCAAATGAACGTCGTCTGCCTCAAGACTAACAACAAACTACACCAGTAATGTTATTCAACAAAATATACACATCTGTATAATTCATGAATAACTATAGGGTAAAACTATAGTGATACCCAGATTCTATATTTACCTGACGTTTCTGTGTTGTGGTTGTCATGTTGAATTTGGAGCGTCGTCTTCACGTCACACCCTCCACAGTTGCGGTGTAGTACAACTCCACGTCCACAACGGCCAGCTGATGACACTGCTGCCACCACCCCGCACTCTCCACTCCTTTATTGATCACCTCTATAGCCCTTTTTTGTAATATAATATCTCCCTTATTCTAATGATTTGCAGTCTGCTGTAGAAATTAAAACAGTAGCATGCAATTCATAGCCCTAATACTGTTGTAAATCTAAATCAGAAACCATTTTTTCCTCTGTATTATCTTTGATCCTCTCTCATTTTCATGATACTGTATAAAAACAACTCAAAAGAAGAAATAAAGAGGGAGATTGGTACTGCATAAGACGAGTGTAGTCTACAAGATGGGTCATTTTTGTTGATTGTCGTACTCTAGTTGAGACTGTGTGTGAGAAGGACCTAGGTGTGTATGTTGACAATGAGTTGAAGTTCTCGGGCCATTGTGATAAGAAGGTAAATCAGGCAAATAAATTATTGGGTCTTATAAGAAGGTCGTTCAGATATCTAGACGGTCCGTCCCTCGTAACGATCTTCAGGAGTGAAGCCCCCCCCCCCCTCTAAAAAAATTAGAAATTTGACCAATATCATGGTCATTTTGAGGCCATTTTGAAGCCATTTGCACATGATATTCGAAGATATTCTGAAGTCAATAGTAATTACATTTTACTATACAAAAACGCCTGAATATAATACTGCATTAAAGAAAAGGTATTGGAATTTTCTGATGAATAGGGGTGTCCGGACCCCCCCTGGATCCGCTCCTGCCAAGATATCTGTAAACCAACAGACTATTCATTAACAAGTTATATATATTTCTGATGACAGTTATTCAATGATATATTAGGCTCCTCTATTTTCTACTTATGGTGCAAATAACTTAGAATTTGTATATGTTCCTCCAAGGTCACATTTACAAGCGCGCGCTTGTGTGCTGGCTCATCCTTGGGAGGGGGGGAGAAGGGCTGAAGCTCACATTGGCAACACCGTCACACCACTACTGTCAACAGACGAGTTTGTCTGTTTTACCCTGAAGGTTCTAGCCAGTAACTTGTTGAAGTGTTCTATTAATTATGTATGACAGATATTTTAATGTATTTAAAAACTAATACAGAATTCAATTATAGTAATAAGAGTTTACAAATTAACTGATACTCGGTAAATTTAAACGCAAATTGAATTGCAAAAATATCAACAATATAAAATTAATTTTTCGTTAATTTTCACAATGTCGATTATCTTTGCGCTTTATAATCAGTTGAGGTAAAATATGCATTGAATAGTTATTGTATTATAACCTCAAGATAGTCGAGAAAATTAATGAGCATGACATTAGAGGATGGGTGAAAACTTGTCGATGGTGAGGAGCCGCGCCTCCACCTACAGCCTCTCTGATTGGTTGATAAATATGTCCATGTGTTGCTGAGTACGAGAGGTGCCTGCCTCACTGTTGACCTTGGATATAGGCAAGCACTGGGTTGGTAATAGAGTTGTGGAATAGGCTACCGAGTGCTATAGTAGGATTGGGGACGCTAGAGAGCTTCAAGACGAAGTTGGATAGGCACATGGAAGTGCTGGGATGGGTGTGAAAGGGATCTGCCCTGTATGGGCCAGTCGGCCTCCTGCAGTATCCCACTTTCTTATGTTCTTATGTACATCCAATACAACATGTATACAGAGAGCACATTGTGAGTTTCCTTTCTCCATCCCATCCTGAGTGTGAACCAACATCTTGTACCCCACAAGCATATAACTGAGACATGACGATCTTCAAGAGTGAAGTACTTCCCGTCTGGAGTACTGTTACTCGGTTTGGTGACGAGATATGCTAGGGACTTGCCTAGCTTATACTACAGACGGGCAAGGGGCGACCTAATTGAGGTGTATAAGCATCTCATGGGGCACTACTCAGTCCAGTGACCTTACTTGGAGCTGGCGGACGCTCGCCCCACAAGGGGTCACAGCTCAAGATTGAAGAAGCCGCAATTCCAGAAAACTGTGAGGGCAAACTTTTTCGGAGTGAGAGTTGTGAACTCTTGGAACAATCTACCAGAATGTGTTGTGACGGCACCAAGCGTGAGCTCTTTCAAGACCAGACTTGACCAACTCTGGAGCATGTTCAGGTATATTCAGGAGCCGGTGCATACCCAGTACTTGCCAACAGTGCATAACAAAGGAATGAGTTATAGAAATAGAATATGAATTATCTTAGGCTTAACGTCATAGAAGAAAAGTGTCTTAGAATTGTCTAAACTCTTATTTGCAAAGATAAAATTCCTGAAATTCGGTTGGTGGCATCAAATGCATTAATACTTTTACTTTTATTCTCTTCACCACTGATCGGCTCGTTATCCGCTTGGGCGGTCCGTCATGTCTCTGTTACGCACTGTTGGTAAGTACTGGGGACTCACTGGCTCCTGAATATCTGAACTTACTCCAGTGTTGTTCAAGTCTAGTTTTGAAAAAAAAAAATATTTTCTGGTGGTGCAGTATTTTTTTTTTTTTTACTTTTGATTTTCAACTCACGATATCTTGGTTATAGGTAACATGCGCCAAAAGTATTGTAGTGGATTTCTCCCCTACAAATGCTGTTTGTCGCTGCCTAGCAGACCCCACCAATTCCCCAGTGTATGCCTCGTGGTCTGGGTCAACCAGCGCCGCCATACATCACGGAGCAGGGGTCAACTGCTAAGCCACGCCTACCCCCGCTATTTAAGACCTGACCTCGTGGTGACCTGTCTCTTTCTACCTGCAGCCAGCAACACCTCCTCCTCCGCCGCTGCCTGGCGGCCCTCACTCCTCTGCCTGCCTGGCGGTCCTCTCTCCCGCCGGCGAGCCTGGCGACCCACAAGCTGTCCTTCTCTGAGCGTCCTCACCAACCAGCTCTCTCTACATCACGCTTGTAACCATGCTGCCTTCCCAGCACCAAGCTGCATTGTACATTCAATACAACATGTATATAGAGAGCACATTGTGAGTTTCCTTTCTCCACCCCATCCTGAGTGTGAACCAAACAATCCTGAACCCCACAGTATCATAGAAGAAATAATCTTGTTTTTGTCTGAAATTATCATGACAAAACACGCCTAAATCTAATTATTACCTGAACTATAAATTGATTTAGAATTTTATTTGGATGCTAATGGCCATTCCATTCCTGCTAATCATCTGTGTTTGTATGGCTATTGAGATGTTGGTATTACAAGCAGTTCATCATGACTTACTCCATCTAGAACAGTGTTAAACTCAATCCTTCCCAAGGGCCACATTTTAGTTCAGCTGATTATCTGGGGACCACATCTACAAATGTTTGTCATAGTTACAGTAGGTGAATCAAATGAGTAAACAGTAAAGTGAGATACTGTACAATGTATTCAATTTTCAAATGATATATAAACGGCTTACAACTCGAAGCTTAACATCAGATTTAACAACTTCTTCTTCACTGCATGTGTTTTCTCTAAAATTAAAAGTAAATTAAATTTGATTTTATACCAGGATAGGCCTACATCCCTATACAGTGACCCCTCGTTTAACGAACACCTCGGTTAACGTAATTTCGATTAACGAACTGCCTTCCATAAAGATCTTCAATTCGGTTAACGAAAAAAAATTCGGTTAACGAAGTTCTTACGAACCGACCTCAACATGTTTTCGCTTGCACTGACCGGGCAACCAGCTTTAGTATCAGTCCGCCAATACATTAATCGGTTCTAGGGCTTAGTAAATATCAAGAAGTTTATACGATTCAATAATTTTAAAAGTTTAATATTCAATTTTTTAGTCATTTTAACAATTATTGAACATAACTGAAGGTAAAGTGACTAGTTTAATGCGCGGCATCCAGCCTCTTAACACAGCAAACAGGAGTTAGTCTCTCTCTGTTTTCACTGGAGGTAACATCTTGCTTGAGACTCTCTTCAACTGAACGCTTTTTTTCTGTTTCTAAGCAAATTATTGGTCATTTTGAAATATATTTTACATATTGACAATATATAATGCAGTGCAGTGTTGATTTAAAGAAAATAATCTTGAATTACACCAAGAGCTAAAATTTTATGGGTGAAATGGCGCCATGGGGTGACTTCTCTTCCACCCCAATGCCTTCTCTTTTTCCTTCTCCTCCACCCCCATTCTAAATCCCATCATCATCATCATCATCCAGGAGCCTTCTACATACACACCTCAAAGTAAGTGAACTTTTCTACCATTTTTGTTGAATTTAGGAAATTTTCGGTGAGCTGGAACCAATTACCCAAAAACCCATTGAAACAATGGCTTCGGTTAACGAACGACCTTCTGGAACGGATTGAGTTCGTTAACGGAGGGGTCACTGTATTATATAATCATATATATAAATACAGGTAGAAAAATTTGGAACTCGGTTTGTTAATAGCTATTTTCGTTTTTCTTCCACGAGTTGTCAATAATTGCCTGGATAGGAGAAATGCCCAGTTTAAGAATGGAATCCAAATGTTTATGCATGTTCTGTACAGTATTTAGATATATTCACCTTCGTTCTCGAGAATGACTGTTCACACACATGCTACCAAATTGTACTGCCCAAAAAACACATTTTGATGAATTTGGGAGAAATTTCTCTTTGTCCACCAGAGTGTAAAAGGCAATGAGACTGTGATTAGAGAGCAATGCTCGAAGAAAAGAATTGGCCTGGATATCAAGCACTGTACTGTACTTCCAGCTGTAATTCGGCCTCATCAAATGTTTTGGCTTTCACCTGGAAGGGGTTTTGAAACAGCTAAACTTTGCTCTCCTTCCTTGCAGATCTTGGAGCCTTCTTTCAAAGTTTGCCTTCAGGGCATCACAGTGATTGACATATGCTTTGTAATAGGGAAGCACTCTAATTTCATCCAGAATGAGTGCATTGCCTTGAAGTACAAGAGGTCACCTTTCTCCAATTGTTTATGGAAGAGATCAATTTTGTTTTGGAAACCATGAACATCGTCCCAGAGATCTGTGATGACCTTATCAGGTATTTGCATTCTGGTGTTGAGTGTGTTCAAATGCTGGGTCATGTCGAATAAAAAAGCAAGATCTAGCAATCACTCGGGATCAGAGTTTCAGCCCTTTGTTACGAATCACCTCGATACGTTTCAAAACTACATCCATCACATTATCCAGTTTCATTGTTTTTCTACAGAGTAATGCTATGGACAGCCAGAACATCAAGGTTGAAATGATCATTGTGCACGTGATTCTTGATGAGAGACACAGCACCATTCCCTTTTCCCATCATCGCTGGTGCTCCATCCTTAGTCAGTCCAGTAAGTTTATTCCATGACAAATGAGGGAGATTTCTTATCTTTACCCTCATAATGGCCTCCTTCACGTTAATGCCACAAACACAACCACAGAGACTTTCCAAAGCAGGATATCTTTATGAATATTGAATTTATCTGTAATGCCCATGATAAATGGAAAGTTCCATCGTGTCATTGCTCCCATCAAAAACAAGGTTAAAAAAGATAAATTTCTTGGCCTTCTCCGCTAATTGGCCGCTAATGTTTTGGCCCATTTCTTCTATTCTAGACACAACTGTGTTATGTGTTAGGGTTACCATATTGAAGATCTTCACCCTTTCAGGTACTAAGATTCCCACTATGTCCTTCATGCAGTCCTTGATAAATTTTCCATAAGTGGACGTTTTCAAGGCTTCTGCTATCTTCCGTGCAATCACATAGCTTTCACAACAGCTTTGTTGTCCTGGATTGGTTTTGAAAATAGTCCTGCTGTTTTGACAGACCAGTTCTGATTCGTTACGAGTTGTTCTTTCTCTCTCTGTAATAGCATGTCTGGAATAAAAGTGATGTTTCAGGTTGTAAACTTTCAGGATGGCTAAAGATTCTTTACAGACAAGACACATGGGTTTTCCATGAACCTCAACAAACTGGAACTTTGAGGTTCATTCTTCTTGAAAGAGGAGTGTGTTATCCTGGTTTTGTTTAACAGCCATATTAGAAATAGATAAACCAAATCTGCAACTCTCCTCACCACCACCACCACCCCAAACACTATTACCTCCAACCACTACTTCCACCGCCACTACACCCCCACCCCCTTATCTAAACCAATTAAAATTTACTAAGTTTCATAATAATGAAACCATTTCAGAAAATCACATTTCCCTCAGTCAAAAGAAAAGGTATATGTCAAGCACATGACAACAAATATTATCCTAATGGTATGAGTAAACTTCATAAACAACTACAACCCAGGGTATTGTTTGGATTCCTGGAGGCCTCCCACGAACAGGTCAACAGCCCCTGCAAGCAGGCAAAGGCAACACTCTCAAACCTCATAAGGTGATGTCTGTTCTCTCTTATTATGTACAGTTTTCATTTACAATATGTTTCTCCATCTTTCCTTGCATAAGAAGTATGGAGCAATGGAAGATAATATGATTAACAGAACTTCCCTTTGAGTGTTCTCTGAAAGTTATTATGAAGTGACCATTGTGAATCAACAAAACCAGTACATGTACACGTGTGATTTTATCAAGATTTATCTTATCCATGTTTTTCATTGTGGATTTACATGATATATATATATATATATATATATATATATATATATATATATATATATATATATATATATATATATATATATATATATATATATCATGCCTATGGAATATCCTTACAGCAGCTCTTCAACATTTTATTTTCCGAGTTCTAGCATCAATAGAGTACTGTACTGTATTAACTTACAAGTGAGTTTTACAAATCAATTTATATATTTCAAGTACAGAACCTGTACAGTATAAGATTTTCATTACAGCCCTAAATAAGGGCTGTAAAATGGCAGAAAGGTAGTTAAAATACTCTTGGTGAAAGAGCATCCTTTACTGTAGCTTCCTGTAGCCCTTCAGAGCTACTTCATGAAATTCCAATAATTTATACTTAAATGGGGTTTATAAAAATACCGAATTTATATAAATACATGTAATGCACTGTATATATTTTTTATTAATTACTATTAATCAAAAGCTTTGTCTCTTTAATGGAAAAAATATTTACAATTAATAAAAACATCTATTGTACAATATTGTTGCCAGAAGTAAGGTAATCACTGACAATTTGGCCAATTAGTTCTGATGAATTCTTTGTGCTCCTCTCCACGTTGCATATTAAATGTAAGACGTTCTGTTACTCGCTTACACTCCTCAATATTCACCTGAAAAAAAAATATTAGCCTTATTCAGTATTGTAAGAACTCATACATTGCTAGATTTAAAGATGCACTTCTTAAAAACAACAATATTTCCCTACATCTGTTGGTTAAGTAGTAAGTAAAGACTACTAACTATGTCTGAAGCACTCTTATGCTCGTCAGAGTTCAGAGAAATATCTACACAATAAATTTCTAATGGAAGTACCTGGAAAATTCCAGGAATGGGGGATATTTTTTCGGCCTTGAGAGATGAAATACAGTGGTCCCTCCATTAACGAGCGGTTCAATTTACTTGATTTCTGTTAACAAATTAGCTCCCATCAGGATTGTCAGTTCTATTAATGAGTGCAATTTCTATTAATGACAGCCTTACGAGAAACACGCTTTGGTGCACACATCAGCAAATCAGCTAGTCCGCCAATACAGTAATCGGTTCTATGTTTACATTTGTTTCCAGTGGAATAAACATCGAGAAAGTTGTGTGCTTGAATATTTTTTTGCATTTTTTATATTAAAATTATTGGTCATTCCGAAATTTAGTTAACATATTGATAATATATACAGTACAGGGCACAGTTTTTGTGCGCCCATCAGCTGATCAAATCGCCCGCCAATGCTTCTCAGTTTAACTTTGTTCACAGCGGAGTAAACATCGAGTTTGTTGGTCTCTTGAATATTTTTGCATTTTTACATTAAAATTATTGGTCATTCTGAAATTTAGTAAACATATTGATAATATACCTGTACAGTGCAGAAATTATTAAGAAATGCAAAGAAGGCATTAGAACCAATGCACTCTGTAAAGAATATGGCATGTCATCATCGACTGCCTCTACAATCAGCTGTTTGCTATGTAAACAAAGCTGCCGGAATACAACATACACACTTCAAAATAAGTTAAAATATAGTATTCTATTGTTTTTTATTTATTATTGTACAGTATACTGTACAGTACAGTACTGCATTTTGTTTACATTTAATGTTTTGTTAATTCTATTACCAGTACACAGTACTTTGTATACTTTTTCTGTGAGTTGGAACCAATTCCCAATATGCCATTGAAATAATAGATTCAGTTAATGAAATTTGCAGTTAACGACTGACTGTGGAACCAATTGTGCTCGTTAATCGAGGGACCACTGTAATGCATCATTCATAGTATGACTGCACAATACTGTATATATTATACAGTACGTATAACATATTAGAGGGTCGAAATGACTTATATGATGTGTAAGGAAAATAAGTACAAAAGGTATGGATGAAAACAGTATGTTGAATGTTATATGACAGGTACTGCTCATGTAAAAATGAGTTAAATGTTTGTATACAGGTCAAAGGGAAGAGTGAAATGTCTAAAGTCAGGTTTGATAGAAGACGGAAGAGGTTTACTGCATGTTTGAATATAAAATCTTGGGTAAGTCTATCACACAATTACTTGATACAATACTGTCACCTCACCTGATGAAGGGCATCCTTGTGTATATCACGAGAAAGCGCTTTGGAGTACACAAGTGACTTGAGAGGCAATTTGGCCATGTCATAAATCCTAGGCCACACTTCTTCTTGGAATGTAGCATCTGGGTATACATCTGTCACTAAACCGAGCTTCCTTGCTTCTCTTGCTGTAATCTAGTGTATGAAGGGTAAAATATATGTAATTATTATTTCACTTCATCCTGTATGACACCTATGCTGATAATGTCTTTACTTGTCCAAGGTTGGTGAGTAACATACACAAAATTCTTCTGGTCCTGTCTTTAATTAGTATGAATTCAACTGTTGATAAAAAAGTAGTACTGCACTGTACAACAATTAAAGTAAAAGATATTCTATGAAAAAATGGGTACATGGAAGGTGACTTTAATTTTTAGTATGGTCCAGTAGTGGTCCCTCCATTAACGAGCAGTTTAATTTATGAGATTTCTGTTAACAAATTAGCTCCCATAAGGATTTTCAGTTATATTTACGAGTACAACTTCTATTAACGATAGCCATACGAGAAACATGCTTTGGTGCGCGCATCAGCTGATCGGATAGTCCGCCAATACAGTACAGTGGTCCCTCGATTAACGAACACAATTGGTTCCACAGAGTCGTTCGTTAACCGAAATTTTTTTTAACAATCTATTATTTCAATGGGATATTGGGTAATTAGTTCTAACTCACAGAAAAAGTACATACAAAGTACTGTACAGTATACCAGTAATAGAATTAACAAAACATTAAATATAAACTAAATACAGTACAGCTACTGTACTGTATAGTACTGATAGTTTGTCTGGCCCATCAACAAGCAGCTCTAGTGCTGTGACTCAATACATTATGTACAATTATCTTTTGCACCATGAGGGAAAAAATTAATAATCTGTACTCAGCCTGGACGCGCTCATTAGAACGCAAAATTTACACCACTATTACCTAGCAAAATATTAATTTTTTCCCAACTTTTCTTCTATAAAATTTTTTTTCCAAAATAAGTACACTTTATAATGGAATAAAGTTTATATTGCAATCACATGATATAATGAAGGTATAAAGTGATGTATAAACATTTTCATTAAGCATAAATTTTTTTTTTGTCTTCTACTCTCGTTTACGTATAGAAATAATTGTTTTATCGGATTAAGTCATACAGTAGAATGTTGATTTAAAGCGATTCAATTTAAGATTATTGATTTAAAGCGACACCCACAATTAAGGACAATGTTTTAATTTAAAGGGAATCTTTCCTATTTTGCACGATTCAATCTGGTGCATCATATTTAAAATTTTGCGCCTAATATTTCTCTGGGCACGCTACACTGTCCTAAGGGCAAAGCTGTACTGTACCTGTACTCAAAATAATGTACTAAATGATTACAAAATTTTTTGTCTAGTGCAAACTATAGTATGTTTGTATTCAAATTAATCATTATCTTATGAGAATTCCAGCAATGCAAATTATATTCTCCCCGGTCACTTCTGTGACATTTTATAATAAAAAAAACATATACTCAAGCTAAAGGACATAAATAAACAAATAAATAATTCACTGGACCTTCCAAACCAACTGTCAAACATGTCATTGTCACTTCCCCTACCCCCCATCTTCCCAGGCAGGGTTTGGTGTTTTAGGCTTAAAGTTTTTTATCTTATATATACTGTAATGTCACAGAATAAAGTAAGGAGAATATAATTTTATTGCTGGAATCCTTGCAAGACAGCAAATAATTTGAATATAAATGTCATATATTTTGCACAAGAGATACAAATTTTTGCTCTTTGTACTAAAATTCTTAAATTAGAACTAAAATGTGTATGTCTAATAGGAGCTATAGCATTTTTATATTCAAATTAATCACTATCTTATAAAAATTCCAGCAATGTTATTTATATTCTCCCAGGTCAGTTCAGTGACATTTTATAAGAGAAAAGCTTAGTCACTTTTAAGGGCAGATAAATAAATAAGCACTAGACCTTGGCATCAACTGTCAAACATATCACCTCACCTCCCTCCCTCCCCCCCCATCTTCCCAGCCAGTAAACAGACCATTTTGTATCCCTTAATTTTAGTTGTGTTGATTTATGAGTGTTTGTTTTAACATAATACAGGTACTACAAAAACAATGCTTTGCTTATTCTACGAGATGGGCTGAGGTGCATCTGGGTAGACTCTCAGTCATTTTAGTATTTTGTGCTTCTCTCAAGTACCAAACTAAATTATTACATTGAAACAACACTTCGATTTAGTGTGAATTCAGTTTAAAGCGTTGTCTGCAGTTTTAACTCTCCTCGCTCCCTGCCACATTTCACTGGATTTACCATCATTAAGAGTGTTTACTGATAGAATAGTGCTTAACAGTGATTAATCATGTCATTGTAGCTAGGTTAGCTCATCATTGTAACCACCAAGCTACTGGACCAAGCTTTGAGGTGTTATGGTTTTTTAAACTCGTATTTTTGGGTAGATATACGTAACCCTTTTCATTTATTTTTGCTCATTTACATGCACACACCATCCTACATACATATTGTGAAAAAGTACTGTTTACAGTATTACACCGCAATTACCAACATCCTTCATGTTGGGTTGGCTAGATGGCTACGAAAGAAATTCTGTAAGTTTGATCTACGTATCAACCCAGCTGGCGCCGTATGGCAACTCGACCAACTCAACTTTAATAACAAAGCACGGAGTTGACTTCAGGGTAGGCTCACATTTTTTGTATAGAACATTTTGTTGTTGTGTTTCTTATTGCGGTATTTGTGAGAGGATTTCCCCATTATTTTTTATTTATATGCATTTTAATAACAATAATAATTACGGTTTATTGAAAGAGCATGGCAGACGGAAAGCTGAAAATGTACAGTTACATAATTGGGGAATGGGTCACTTGATTGACAAATAACATAAGTGATACAAATATGATATATAATAATTAAGGTTATACTACGGCGCATTTCAACATTGTGACAGTGCAAAAAGGTAAGGAAATTACTGTCTCTAGAACGAATGGTTCCCTGTCCCAACCGCGAAATCGCCGGCAACTTTAAAACTACCCACAGACATTCTTGGGTACATCCAGGGTGTCATCCGCGAATAACCAAAAACCGTGAAGTAAAAATCCGCAAACTTGGGAGGCCCCCTGTATGCAATACATACAAATTACATTTTCTTATTGGTTGGTATAATAAACATATTATAAAATTGTTTCATAAAACCTATATGGTAACTATGAAATGAGCCACCTACCTTTTTATTAAACAGGAGTAATTCTGCAGCTTTTCCAGGTCCCATGAGGAGAGGGAAAGTATAGGAAGAGCAGCCTTCAGCTGTAATGCCAAGTGCACTAAAGGGTGTTAAGAAAATTGCCTGTAGGGTCAATGAAGGAAGAGAATCATGACAAAATCTTTCTCTCACTTCTACATAGTAAAATTTCAATCCCAAATCTGTTTGTTTTACAACTTCAGAATGTAACATTAAGGATGTAACACTAAAGTGCTAGTTTTTGCACAGGGCATCGTCAGTCTACTCCACTGAGAATGTTAACCTACCTTAACACCTGGGGAGATAAAGGTAATTGAGTGTAGTGCTCTCCACAATGCCTGTTTGTAAAATGCAAGTTTAAAATTCAATGTACTACATCCACTTTAACCCTTCTGGACTGTCAGGCCTAAAGGAAACACTTTCAATATTAGGAACAAAATTATGAGAAATGTGATTCTCTTATAGCCATGCACTTCTCCAAATTAACAGACAAAGGTGTATGTACTGTATTCAAAGTAGTCTGGAAATGGAGGTGGAATGGTTATCATGCTGGCCCAGGTTTGAATTCTCTCCCAGAAAGCAGAGTATAATTACTATCCGACGTGAGCCAATTTTAGTACAGTAGTGCTGAATAACCATATCCCAATACAGGGTAGTTGTAAATTCCCAATTGCCCAGGTGGGCTATTTCCCATGAAAAAATAAAATAAATTAATGACAGGGAATGCCAGACTTATGTAGCTGATAACCTGGGTTGACTTGTAAATTTCATCGTGTACAAGGCAACCCAGGCTGAGTATTGGTCACGCTGTTAAGGTGCAGCCTCATGTGTACTTCACTTTGTCCATCACTAATTACTAAAGACCTACTTTGAATATATCCATTACATATAGTACCGTATAAAGAAGTTTACTTCAAATAAAACCATCACAAATTTAAATTCATTCATCCTATTGAAGAATCACACAACTGCTTTTGTAGTTAGGAAATAAGAATCTAGTTGCAAGAGCACACTTTAACTGACTACCAAGGTCCTATGTTTACTTTTATCTGTCACAGTAGTACATAAGTACATACTGTACCTTTTCAGTGGCAAAGACAGCATCAAAGAGTGGCAGTAGTGTGGTACCCACACCAACAGATGCACCATTCACCACAGCCACCAAAGGCTTTGGGAAATCAATGAATGCTGCCATGTGTCTGAAAAGAACATTAGATAGGATAAATGCCAAGGATATTATAAAACAGAATAAACAGACGATTATTCACAATCAAATTTGACATTCAAGTACATAATATGTTAAAATTCAAAATTTTTTTAATGATTATGGAATTTCATATTTCAGCAAGCAACAGTCAAGACCAAAACTGGACATTCAAAAAGGATGATATGGAAGATTTGAGATGTGAGTATGGAAGGGATTGGAAGAGGTTAGTTACATAAACATGTGAAAAACAAAGCTTTTCCACAGGGGATGACAAAAACTGGGAAGAGTGGAGATGTTGGATGCAAGTAACCTGCAAATGGGTAGAAGACTGGTGATGATGATATACAGTAGCTACATAAAATTGAACTTAAATCTGACCTGGTTAAAAGATCTCGGATTTCAATCATGGGCATGTGGTGGAAATTTGATTTATCATTGCCACCAGTGTAAACATTTCCAGCCCCAGTAGTGGCTGCAATGATGGTATTAGGATCATTAGCAGCCTCCTGCAAAGCTGTTGCAACCTCAGCAAACATCTGTATCAAAATCATGTGTTCTTCCTTAGCTCAAGCAATAAGTTATGCATAAAAAGTCATAAAAAAATCCAAAATTAAGTAATTCTTTATAAAATTTACTATACTGTATATGTATGTACTGTGAGTAGTGTTCCTAAAATTGAAAAGAAGAGTTTTGATTGTGAAAAGGTGATGTAAATAGAGGACACATTTTTAAAGGGTTTCTAAAAGTGGTGCATTATGTTCAGGCACTAAGAGAAAACAATACATTCTTTCTTCAAAGACAATCTTATATCTGGGATTTTTATGTACACAAAACCTTCAAATTACACAGTGGTTAGGTTCCTGGCAAACATTGTGCAAAGTGAATCTGATAGGGGGATAGGTTCCAGGTGCTCATTAGTTTCCCATGACAAGTTACACGAAAGGTAGATCTCATTATCAGCTGGCCAGCATAGAACTTAAGTTGCTTTCCTTTGTATACTATCAGAAATAACCTTTCCAATGATACCAAACTAGACAAAAAATTAAAGCTTTACCACAATGTGTTGTTTTAAATTTCCTCACTAGCCAGTTAAGCACACCCTATAGTAATCATGATTCGAGTTTTGCATACGTAATCAGATAAAAACGAGTGTTCAGTTACAGATGTACCCCAACAACCAATGCATATAGGGACCGGGAAAAGTTGTTGGTTAGTGAATCATTGGTTATCGAAGCAATTAATCCCATAAGAACTTAACAAATTTGGGGGGTTAGGGACTGGTCACTATCCAAAAACTCCCATCTACCCTTGATGCACACTGTGATGCACTCTTTATAAAAGGGAGTTTATGTTGATCAGTGGAGGACATGTTCTTGCCAATGTTTGTCTTTTACACTATGAAACAAGAATATGTTTGGAAATAAATAATACTAATACTGTACTGTAAAAGATTTTTCCACATTGTTTTAGTACTGTATTCCTCATGTTCTTTCAACAATGCAGTACAGTATCATATTCTACAGTACACTGTACAAGTATTTCTTCGATTCTTTATCTGCCCCTAACATTTATGTACACTATATAATGGATGGTACAGCATAAGAGCCTGCACAATATCTTAAGGACAACAATTGAGCCCTGAAGTTTGCCTCCACTTTTTCACAATTTTCTTTTGGGAGGCATGACTGTAAGAACAACACAAAATTGTTCATGGACAATTGATATTGAGCAATATGATTGCACAACTAAGACTGAACATAGCATGAGAAGTATTACAGTGCAGTATTTTGTACAGGAAAGCCTCCGATAACGACGATTCATATTTAAGACCCTGGTTAATTTACGACCCAATTCAATTTACACCAGGCTTGTGAGTGGTGCCGCCAGCATAAACAGTCGCAGCTGGTGGGCCCTTTGTTTTCACGCATCTGAACAGGAAAGAGATAAAAACTTTCTCAGGTTTCTTACGTCATTTTTTGCATCCCTATTCAACGTGAGCAATAGAGCAAGTGATATTAGTGCTGGTTCAAAAGCTAAAAGAAAGTGTACGTATAAGCTTAACTGAGAAACTAGATGTGTTAAAACGATATGAAAAAGGTGAGAGGTCTGTGGAAATTATATGGAGTACGCAATGAACATATTTTCTGATGTGAATCCATTAACAGAACGAAGCATTAACATTAACAGGGATGTAAAAAACACATATGACCTCCACATAAAGATGTATAATGAGAAAAGAAGGTGGCTGTGAAAGGTTCTTTTGACAGCTTTATTACTCAAAGGCCTAAACCACCAACTTCAGCTACACCATCAAATTCAACATCATAAGCAGCTTCAGCAACAACTTCAGGTTCAGTAACAGTTTCAGCAACAGCTACGATATCTTTATGGAAAGCTTCAGCTTCAGCCAGAGTTGAACCTGATGACTTCGTCATCTGAGTAAAAACTCGCACAATATTCATTGGCTGTCCTTATGTTTTAGACTTTACCACCATTTGAGTAGAATTTTTGTTTTACATTACTAAGTATTATTTAAAACATATATGAACAGTAATAAGTGTTGCTTTTATATTCTAATGCACTTGAGAAATGACGATGTTTTCACATATACGCACTTACAGACAATGGCGTTCTCAATCTATTTCATTTATTCGTTACCTTTAATGGTTAGCTACTTCTATTGTTCAATTTATTAACATTAAATAACATTACTTAATACATACATATTCATTGTTTTACATAAATTTTACTACAGCAACAACCAGGGTCTTATTTTCTTCAGTTTCAGATGGGTGTAAACACTAACAACAATGGCGTCGCATCTCCTCTTGTGTGACTTTATTATTATTGATATATATTGTACAAGGTGCATTCATAAACATTTATTTAAAGAATATAGTTTGCATTTTTCATTACTTGTATTGTTTTGGGGGAAAAGAGGGTAAAAAGCCACACATAAGTTATGAAAGGGTCACACTGGGGAATGCATCTCATCATTATTGCTTTATTTTAATGGCAATTAATGATTCATGATGCGATGATTCACCTTACACTGCAGTATTGGATGATACATTACTGTCGTTATTCGAGGCTTTACTGTATACTGTACTGTACCATAGATGGGACAAAACAAAATATTCCATTTACAAATTCCTCCCATTAATGGACGGCATTGGCATGAATTAGTCTGGTATTGGGAGGGCTTACTGTATAAAAATAATTAAAGTGTAAAATGAATACTGTACTGTACCTAACATCAGATTAATCCACCATGAGAGTATTCAGATGTAGACATGAACTCATATACAGTACAGGGTATATATTATCTGCAAAGATGTACTATATCTGATGTAGTATCCCAGCATTAAGCAAATGAGTCTGTGGGTACTGTACCAGTAATTGGCAGGCTCATGAAGTCCCATGAACCATGGAAACTCTACAAGTCCCTTCCATGACATTTATGTAGAGTCCTCTAAGAACTGCACATCAGATATCTAACTTCTACATCCTGGGAAGCATACTATCCCATATTGATTGGAAAGACATTTGTTCCATACACAGAAATCAGGTAGAGGAAGGGTTAAGTGCCCCAAATGACTTGCCAATACTAATGAAAAACTCAAGAATTCTTGTGATGATCCCTTGTCTGGGATGGATACGACAGTCGCTTGCTATGAAGATAATCTAGAGCAGCATCTTATTAATCAAATTGTAAAATCAGCAAGTGCTAATGAAATAAAAAAATCTTGTTTATTCTAATGAACATTGTAAATGCTTTACTTTTTTAAGGTGCAGTATTGCATTAAACATGTACTCTTGGTATTTACCTTTTCATTTAGAGCATTTTTCTTTTCTGGTCTATTAAAAGTGATGGTTCGAACTCCATGCTGTAGAGTGATGGTGAGATGCTCATATTGGGAAGTGTCTGTATATGTGGATGCAGTTTCAATATTACCAGATGACTGCCCATCAGTAGACATGGTACGACTGCTCCATGCTGGTAGCGTTTTAGGAGGATCCAGTTGATCTACAGACTTTGTATTCCAGGGCAATCTTCCTAAGACAGTTCTAGGACAGTGTAGGCCAACACAGCTGCAAGAGATAGTACAAATTATCATATTGTATCTTACAGACCAAAGGGCAATATCATGTGGAAAACAGATGACTGAACCAGTGATGTAGTTGAGACTACGACCATTTATGGATACCCGATGTAGTGTAAGGGTGGTTAAACTTCAGGTGGGGTATACCGGGTGGAGCCAATCTTCAGGTGACTATTCACATCCAACATCATCCACAGTCACCTAAAGACAGTGCAGGATTACCCAATTGGCACAGTAGGCACGAGCCTAGGGACCCCAAGGTTAGAGGACCCAGTAGATTTGACTGTTATTAGGTTATACAGACAGCATTACTGAAAGTAAAAATAATAAATATATAAATACAGGCATAGCCTAATAACTGATGCATATAGGGACTGGGAAAAGTCGTGGATTAGGAAATCAACGGTTATCGAAGTGGCCTGTAATTATTTTACCACTTAAGTGCGAAACCACTTACAATGAAGACACTTATAATGAGGAACCCCTGTAATTACCTAAAATACTTACTGTAATTAACTAAATCAAACAACTCCTTCTGGTGGCAAGTGTTGTTCTCAAACTTTACCTTATTCTAATTATGTCCTTTTCTATAAATTGACCCTGAGATCCTTGCTAGTGATTTAGCTTGTTTCATTATTTATCATATCACCACTTACTGTATCAGTTTTCTAGCGATTCAGAAGGTTAATCGGCTAATATTGATGACACCGCTGATACAATACACTACAGTACAGTATTTGTTTTGATGTTTATAATATTACTATATTTTCATCAGTGAGTTCTGATATGATATTTGGGGTTGCAGTGGATATTTTGCTGTGACTGGCCAAGTTCCTACTAACGCTATTTTATTGTGAGCGAGCTCTGGGTATTATTTCAGTTTCAGCTCCAACTCGATTAAAGCAATTTTGTGTATACAGTACAATTAGTTATATCTCGTCAATAAGAACAACTTTTTCTAATACCACTTCCATCGCAAATGGATATTAACTGAAATAGTAAATTCACGAAAGAAATTAATGTAAATCTGCAGTCAGCGCATGTAGTCTGTTTGTTTACAACTGACCCGCTCAGTCTGAGCATACTCTCACACCCAGAAAAAATAAAAATAAAATTACACCATGATGCTTCAACAGGTTTTTTTTTTTTTTGCTGGATTAGCCCACCAGGGCACAGGTTAACGACCCACACAAAGGACCATAAAAAAAAAGAAATCATTATTGAGAAACAATATATGTATGTTGTGTTGTCAAAAGCAAAAGAAACAATTGAGACCCTGCAATTGTGTGTAATTGAGGCAGAAGGTCAAATGAGCAACCATATGGCAGCAGGGTCTACCATTAGACAATACTGTACTACTGTACATTATGCTTCCATTATCTTCCCAGGCAGTAGTACCTACCTCCCTGTTTGATAGCTGCCTACTACCTGCTTTTATTGGTACCAGATATCAAAAGTAATGTACTTTCTTTTTAATATAGCAGAGATGGCTAGGGAAGTTAGGTAAATTTCTTTGATTGGTTCTACATGGGGGCAGGATAACTTCCAAATGAATCACACCAAATACCATGGGAAAATAAAAATTTATGGTTTAACAGTAGTTGGGGCTAAAATTGCAAATTTATTGCTGTTTTGTTCGCCAGTAATGGATGATTAGCCAATCAAATCGCATTATTGTAGTAGAAACTTAGCCGGTCACGGCAAAATATCCGCTGCCTTTTTTATTTGATTAGGTTAGGTTAGTTTATGATTTGGTTAAGTTAAGGTTAGATTAAGTTAGATTCAATGCCATAGAGTGCAAGAGAATGCACCTGGGTTGCACCAACAGTAAGGAGGCAGATCATATGTCCCAAGGGGATGAAGAAACTGCATTAATTGGGACAGAATGTGAAAAGGACCTAGGTGTGTATGTTGACAAGGAACTTAAGTTCTCGGGCCATTGTGAGAAAAGGTTTAGATATCTAGATGATCCGTCCCTCATCACATTCTTCAAGAGTGAAGTGCTTCCCCGTCTGGTCCTCGATATACGCTAGAGCCTGTCAATTGATTGAAAATGTCCAAAGGAGGGCCACCAAACTGGTGCCTGCTCCATGGAACCTCAGCTAACCAGAGAGATTAGGATGCCTGCAACTGCCTAGCTTATACAGTACTACAGACAGGCAAGAGGCGACCTAATTGAGGTGTATAAGCATCTCAAGGGGCACTACTCAGTCGAGTGTCCTTACTTGGAGCTGGCGGACGATCGCCCCACAAGGGGTCACAGCTCAAGATTGAAGAATCCGCAAGTCCAGAAAACCGTGAGGGCAAACTTTTTCGGAGTGAGAGTTGTGAACTCTTGGAACAATCTACCAGAAAGTATTGTGACGGCACCAAGTGTGAGCGGTCCGACTAATTACCCAAATGTACCCAAATGTAGCCGCAATGAAGTCAAATAATGGTTCTACATGAATAAATAGGACTGCTAATCACTTCTCGACTAGTATTTGGTGTCACAAAGTCACAAAAAATTGGAAAACTTACTTTCATCTGAGTTAATAGATCGAGTGCATGTATTGAGGGAGCGAGTAATTACCCAAATGTAGCCACATGTAGCCGCAATGAAGTCAAATGATGGTCGTACAAGCGTAAATCGGGCTGTGAATCACTTCTCGATTATTATTTGGTGTCATAAAGTCACAAAAAATTGGTAAACTTAATTTAATCTGAGTTGTGTTAGGTTAGGTACATGCACTTGATCAATTAACTCAGATTAAATTAAGTTTACCAATTTTTTGTGACTTCGTGACACCAAATACTAGTCGAGGTTAGGTTAGGTTAGGTTAGGTTCGGTATATGCACTCGATCTATTAACTCAAATTAAATTACGTTTTCCATTTTTTTTTTTACTTTGTGACACCAAATACTAGTCAAGAAGTGATTGGTAACCCGATTTATTCATGTAGGACCATTATTTGACTTCATTTTGGGTACATTTGGGTAATTATTCGGACCCAGTGTGAGCTCTTTCAAGACCAGACTTGACCAACACTGGAGCAGGTTCAAGTACATTGAGGAGCCGTTGCATGACCAGTACTTGCCAACAGTGCATAACAGACGTGACCGATCGCCCAAGTGGCTAACGAGCCGATCAGTGGTGAAGAGGATAAAAGTAAGGACACTCGACTGAGTAGTGCCCCTTGAGATGCGTATACACCTAAATTACGTCGCCCCTTGCCCGTCTGTAGTATAAGCTAGGCAAGTTTGGGCGCTCCAATCCCTCAGGGTAGTTGAGGTGCCGAAGTGCAGGTACCAGTCTGGTAAAGATTTTCAACCAACTGACAGTCCCTAGTATATCTCGGGGACCAGATGGGATGACAGTACTCCAGATGGGGAAACACTTCACTCCTGAAGATCGTTACGAGGGACGGACCGTCTAGATATCTGAACTACCTTCTTATAAGACCTAATAATTTATTTGCCTGATTTACCTTCTTCTCGCAATGACCCGAGAACTTCAGCTCATTATCAACATACACATCTAGGTCCTTCTCACATACAGTCTCAACTAGTGCAGTTTCTTCATCCCGTTGGGACATATGATACGCCTCCTTACCGTTGGTACGCCAGTTCAATATCTTACCTTTGTAGTTTAAGTAAAGAGCGTGTGAGAGACATGTTATTAGCCCACTCCTCAACTAGTAGTATAATCAGCAACGCCAGCAAACCCACTGTGGAGTGAGCGTTTTGGGAACAGACACACAGGAAGTGGGGAACACGGGGAGGGGGGGAGGTTTTTTTTTTTATAACACCCGGAGACGGTAGGACTACTTTACAATTCAAAAGTATCCCACTGTTAGAGCACGCGCTCAACTGCTGCGTGCAACGACAACCATTGAGTGGCACACGCATTTAAAATTTTGTGTGGCTTAAGGTCCAGCTTTTAAGGCTCTTAAATTCCTTGGTTTGGTAAGATGCAGTTTGTGGATCTGTAGGGTGACCCGACAATAAGTAAGTCTCTCCCTTTTAATTTAATTTTACACCACTTGGATTCTTCAAAAACATCCTCTCCCTGTACCCTCACCTGGATGGCTTTAAGAAAGGTCTTGCCTAGCATAGATAACCACAACCCTTTTACACTTTTATTGAGAAAGGTTCGTAAATAAGTCATATCCGTCAATACTGAACTCATATTCCTCTGGGTCGATTCTCCTATTCTTGAACAACAATTCTACAACTCCTACTATATCGGGTTGGTATAACTCAATAGTGTTTCAAACTCCTCTCTCTTATCAAGGAACGTGTCAGTATTAGTGTACATGACATTCAAGTCGAAATTTGTTCTCGGTAACGTCTCTGCTCTTAGTAGTAACCAACCCCCCCCCCCATTCTCAGCAGCTAAATACAATGTGTTTTGCGGGGTGTGGTTAGAAATGTCGTTGTTTACACGGCGCTCACTCCACTCTCCAGGGTGGGAGGTAAAGAAGGTGCCTCCTGAGGTCGAGTAACATGGAAAAGCATTAACATGTCATCATAGTCAAGGAGTAGTGTAGGCTGGTATCCTTATGACTAGTTACTTTAGTACCGTAGCCTTCCGAGTTATTTCAGGGTATTAGAGTTGATATTAACTTACAATAATTTGCAGTCGGAATAACTATTTTTGTATATTAAAAACCATGCCAAAAAAAAAAGAAGATAAATTATGATCATATCGTTAAATTTAGTATATATTATTTGACTGGGAAAGAAGATGGTGAATCTTATTTACAGAACTAGGACGAGCAGCTGCACTTGTCACTGGCAGTAAACACAAGACTCCAGCTGCTCCTCTATAGTCAGTCCTTCAGTGATCACCTCCGTCCAAAAATGGTTTACGTGGAAGCGTATGAAGACTTTGAAAAAGCAGCAGAGCGTGTGTACCTTAATGCACCTATGAAAGTGAGTGGAAGTGGATCATGGTCCGGGTCACTGTAGCAGCTGAACATTGGCGTGGAGTTGAGTCATTTTGACCAATGGTAGCTGGCAAAGACGTGAGAGGTTAAGACAAGAAGCAGGCTCTCCAACGTGATTGAACGTGAATTATAGTAATGCACTTCTGATCATAATCTATAACACATTACATATTTGGGTAAATATTCGTCCATGGGCTGTCCTCAGGTTTTTATATAAGAATAGGCTTTTTAAGATGTTGTATGGTGAGTTTTACTCGAATCTGACCTTCATTTCTTGTGCAAATTAACGGTTCTTGCCAAAATTGAACATTTTTATTTATAACAAATGACAATTTGCCAAAAAAAAAATGGCTGTCAGGTTTGAGTAACACCAAAAAACCCAAAGCTAACCTAACCTAACCCAGCCTAGCCTGCAATATATACAATCTAGCCCAGTCATTTGGAGCTTACCTGCTACTGTGGTGGAGGATACAGCTGGGCGATCTGGAGAAGGAAATGATGGAGGATGGTAATTTCTGTCTTTTCTTAAAATTAACAATTTCCACACTTAGGACACAGTCTTGATGTTGGTAGGACACCATGATCATGTAATATTTTTATTGCTTCACTGTCATTCTCATAAACTTGCTGCATAACAGTTAGATATGGGAGAGAACACTTACCACACGCCATCACGAGCGGTGGAAGGATGGTTAAAATTGATTGGTGGTAAAGGTGTAGAAGAGGGTGACTGCCAGAAAGAATTGTCTGAATTGGTTGAAAATTTTCTACACACTAATATCATGATACTAAACACAAAAATAGAAACGACAATGCATAGAACCTAATAGAACCTGACAATTTTTTTTTTTTTTTTTTTTTACTCCTGCTTCACAATTCTCCCAGTGCCATTTTTGTTGTTTACCTCGCTGAATCCGTTTTCAAGAGACTGTTCCTAAATGATGGTGAACGCTTCCACGTATTCCTCCTCGCCATTGCTGATGTATATCAACCTCAATATTAAGGCAAGTTGTTTAACACATAAATTAACACGATAATGCATAGGACCTAATAGAACCTGACCTAACAAACCCATAGGTTGGGTATGTTAGGTCAGGTTCTATTAGATTCTATGTATTATCATTTCCATTTTTGTGTTTAGTACTGTATCATGATATTAGTGTGTAGAAAAAAATGTCAGCCAATTCAGACAATTCCTTCTGGTGGTCACCCTCTTCTACACCTTTACCATGATTGACCATCCAAGTCACATGACATGATACTTGAAGGTCATTGGTTGTCATGTCACGAAGAGGAGGTGGAAAGGAGGAGACAAGTGCCTCTGGCAACACGGCCTTTCCAGAAATATATGCCTAGAAATTTGAGATACTCCATTAATATTGATTTGCTCACGAATTGATATAAAGTTGTATGTTTCGTTTTTTCTAGTCTTTGTGGCTGTAATATTGAAATTGGAAACCTGTGGACAGCCAATGGACGAATATTAACCTTTATTTGGTTAATTTTTTTTGGTAAATTTCCTGATTAACACCCAACTCCCTTTGAAGCTTAAAATTTTCTTTTTCCTAAGGTTTTTTTTAGTGTGATTCATTTGATTATAACGCCCATTTCTGTCGGAAATCACCCGTTTCCAAGTTATGACCCCCTCCAACCCAACCTAACCTAACCTAACCCAACCCAACCTAACCTAATCGAGAATTAACCATTGCCCTGCCTACCGTTTACGCTGATGAAGGCCTGGGGCTGAGGTTGAGGATCGTGTTTGTCTTCAGAGGCAGGGACAGGAGGTAGATGTCACTCTGTCACCTTCCAAAATAATTGATTTAAAAAATATTTATATTTTGACGAGTAATTTTCGATGGATGTTTATTGAAGAAAAGTTGCTTAGAATTGCATAAGGTGAGTGGTAGGCCCATTAGTATTGTTGTGCGTGACTTAGGTGTTAATGTGGGAAAAAAAAATTGGTTTATTGAAGAAAAGTTGCTTAGAATTGCATAAGGTGAGTGGTAGGCCCATTAGTATTGTTGTGCGTGACTTAGGTGTTAATGTGGGAAAAAAAAAATTGGTTTCGGTTATCCCGGGGTTAATATTAATGACTGACCCACGGACGAGTTATTTGTTTTGCTGTTTGTTTTCTTACTCTATTTTTATCTGTGAGTTCTGATATGGTAATCATTTCTTGTGCAAATGCTTTGTTTGGTAGATAATTGGGTGCCTAGGCATGCACTACTTTGTCTTCTTGGCGGTAATGCGGCAGTGACGTTTCATCCTAGGATGTAAACAGCCAATCATATTGACTTACAGTAAACCATCGTTATTCGTAGGGGTTAGGTTCCAAGGAATGGCATGAATAGGCAAAAACATGAATAGCAACTTATACTTCCTTAGTGCACTTCTGTATACCTGCACCAAACAACCAACCAGCCGTGGCAGCACTCATCCCCTTTTTTAACTTATCTAATAATTCAACTTGCTTTGTCAGGGTCATCACCGACTTCTGCCTTTTACATTTCACTTCACTAGCATCACTAGCACTGACACCAGGGCTGCCGTAATTCTGACTGTTTTACCGAATGCTCTGAGTGGTTATCTTGTGTGTGACTGGCTACAAGATCATGACGTCATAAATAACGTTTTCTTTGTTAAATGTGATACATATATAGGATAACTGAGATACTGTAATTTGAAATCAAGAACATAATAAAAGTTATCAGTCACATTTCATTTCCTTTTTACTATTATTATGCATATGTATAGTATGAAATATTGCACAATAGATTCTTTAAACAACTTTAAAATCAGGTGGAGCAGTATTATATTGAATAAAAGAAATAAAAGAATGCTAGAACTTCTAATAATAGTTAGCCGTAATGATCAAGAAGCAGAAAATGGAGTGATACCGAGGGTGAATATCATAGAAAATGCACTGTTAACAAGGCTAACTATTATAATATATATCATTTCAAAATGTCTGATAAAATAACTACAATTAAATTTCTAACAGTAGAGGACTCACCGAAAGTCGATGTATAACGGTGTGTAGATGCTTTGGATAAAGGCTCTGCAGTGAAAGTCATATGAAAGGCACTGAACTCAAGGCAGATCCAGCAGGGGACCCCCCCTTTTCACCAGAAAACTCCAATACTTTTCTTTATTGCAATATTGTACTCAGGCATTTTTGTTTAATAAAAATTAAATACTATTGACCTCAGACTCTCCTAATATTAAGTGCACATGGCTTCAAAGTGGCCTCAAAATGCCCATGATATTGGTCAGATTAAAAAAAATTCGGGGGACTACCTCCTAAACCCCCCAGATGGATGGACTCACTTTGCTCGCCAGTTACCCCCAAGAAAAACTTCTTGGACCCTCCCCCTTTTGATATTTCTGGACCCCGCGGACCACACCCCGAGTCGGCCAATCACAATGGATTTCCCTTGCTATATCACAGCTCCTTGGCCAATCCGTGAACCTTGTTAGTTTTGGCTATTTTTTATAAAGTTTCGGCGTAACATTGATGTTATTCGTGTTCCACGGGTATGAGAAGTGCTGTGCAATATCTGCCCGATATTAGAGCAAGACTCGAGTGAGGCCTGGCCTTCTGGTGTGTGTTCAGGAGCCCTAAATCCTGAGCGTGTGTTTAGTGACGACAGTGCTCACGTGGACACCCCAGCCATGCTTGGTGATTGTGATTTTGGTGGTGATTATGGTGCAAGTGACGTGTGTGAGAATGTTGGTGATGAGCTACTTGGTGATGTTGGGGAGCCTAGTGTTGGTAGTAGTGGTGGTGGAGCACCATGTGATGTAGATTGCAGGGGTCAGGAGCATACCCCCAAGGCCCAAGGTTTCGGAACAAATTCCGAGGTTGAAAATAAGGATCATTTTCTGAAAAAAGAAGGAAAATCTTTACAAATATTTATTTATGGGTCTGGGAGCAAATATCGATTATGGAATAATATGCAATAACTAGAAAATCTAAGAAAATTGCAAGAAAATCGCTCCAAACCTTTCTGCTCAGAGCCTGGACCGCATCCTTACATGGTTGGTGCATGGGTGAGAAGACCAACTGCTTGGGTAACGCTGGAATTTTCTGCTCTGGGTCTATTTATTATTACTATGCAAATATAAATATATCTTTAAATGTACAGTAGCTAAAACAACTATCAGTGCAGGTGGGGGTCGATATGCTCCGAAATTTTAAGTGTGACTAGTGATAACTCTCATATACCAAAATTTATCGTCCATGGTCTCATTTGTTTCCCACAAAGTATGCACAGATAGTTGTTTAGCTACTGTATATACATTACAAAAAAGTAAATTAATACAGTAATAAATCAATGTAAATCTGAGCTGAGCTAACACGGCAAAGGGTGAGGTGTCAGGTGGTGAGTTGACATGCCAAGACAATTACACAGCACACACATTAACAGCACTACATTGTCTTATAACATTTTACTTTATAATTTCTATTTAAAAATTAATTGATATGCAATGGCTCAATTTGGCTAAATTTGCACTTAGACAACTGAAAATGAATAAACCAGGGTATATGGAGACACATTATACACTAGTGATGTCACGAAGCTTCATAGCTGCAACCACAACTGCTGAGCAACCGCATAAATTATCATAACCTGTACTCAAATGTACTAAGTTAATTACTAAAATTATTATGTCTAGTGCAAACTAAGGGGTGTTTATACTCAAATTAATCACTTTTTACAAGAATTCCAGCAAGTTATACTGTAGTCTAAGTTAAGTCAGTGACATTTTATAAGGTAAAAAAAAAAAAAACCCTCTGTCTTTTATAATCTGAGGCCCTGACAACTATGTAGTATGCATTAATCTCCCCTCCTGGCTGTGGACACCCCACCTCCCCTTACCCCATTCTTCCATCCAGCAGGGGAGGCAGATGGGGTGGGGGATGGTTGTTTTAGGCTTAAAGTTTTCTAATTTAATAATTGGCTCAGCAGAATATAACTTGCATTGCTGGAATCCTTGCAAGGTAGTGATTAATTTGAGTATAAACATCTCATAGTTTGCACAAGCGATAAAAAATTTTGTCTTTAGTATAGTATATTTGATTACAAAATGGGTACAGTAGTAATATGCTCCTCAAAATTGTCTTTTTTCACAGGGAAGTGTCTGTATAACTAGCCCCAGTGGTCAGGATACAGGTACTATGGTATCAAATGTTACAGAATATTTCAAATAAATTCTTTGTTTAGTTCTGTACATAGAAACTTGGGGATAAAACTAATAATTTGAGCTTATTAATATGAGGACCCTTCATTTACAGTAAAATAATTTTTTTTACATTATTCGACTTGTCATTTAAGGCTATCATATTTATAACATTTCAAAGAGAAATTATTCAGGATCATTATGGTATCAAATTCATCTCCCTATCACAATTAGCCACTTTTGAGTGAGGAAGGCAGGGGTGGCCAAACGACCTTCGACCCCCAAAAAGATTTGACTCCCCCACTCTTAGCCCAATTATCCACACTGTGCTACAAACACACACACCAACATTACACCACTACATCACACACACACACACCCTCCAACACCACCCACACACCCCCTCACCTTACATCACACACACACACACACTCCAACAACCACCCACACACACACCCCTACATCACCCAAACACACCCTCACCCCACATCACCACCCACACACACCCCAACATCACACCCTCCACACACACCCCCAACACAGGAATTAAGACAGCTGGCATGAGAAGTGACGGTCTTATTGTTTGACAAATTTGTGTGTGTGTCACTGCGTGGTAGCGAGTTAAATATCAGTTGTTGAGCAGCGCTTGGCAACACTCATTTCCACTCCATCTCTCTAATTACCCACACCTTTCTGCTTTCTCACTCCATATTTTAAAATGTTATGTAATGTAGTGTTCAAGGGATACAACTTTGCTCATTTGACATTTGTACTTATCACAATCTCCCTAAAAATACTTTAGGTTTCGTGTTTATTCAAGACATCTTCAGGTCACGAGACACACTAATTCCCCAGTCAAGAACGGATGATCTGACATTCCATCGGAGGTCAGTAATATGAGACCACTAATCCCCCACCCTACCTCCACCTGACATTGCGTCAGGTCAGTTACACGAGACCCAGTAATCCCCCACAGCTCCATGGGAGTGGAAAATAACAATCTAATCTTAGCTGTAACACAGCTTCATTCATGCCCATATCATATAGATTTTTAATTTTAAAATACATTTATTTCACCAAACTTTTAGATAAACTATTGTGGATTATTATAGTAAAGAAAGGGAGTTTTTAACTTAATTAGAACTGCATTTATGGACTCCGGTACTTTAGACTCAAGGAAAACATCCCCAGCACCCAGAAACATTCTGGGGAAGTGGGCTAGTGTCTGTGTGTGCAAGATTTCTAGTTTAGACACTCAGAAACTTTTCCCAGTACTGTAACTGGAAAAAATACCGGGGATAAGGAATTTTTCCGGGTTTGAGAAAGTCGTCTGGTTAGCCAGAAATGTCTCATCCCCGAACGTGCTCTGCACCAATTGTTCCGGCTAACAGGGATATCACTGTAGTACTGTATATTAAAATTATCGTAATATTTGGTAAAATTTCGGATTACGAGACATTTACGAATGACATGCATGTCGCCTGGGATGCAACCACTGACTGCACGCCTCAGTGTGGAGTGTACATCTACAGTTTACCGCACAAGCTTTTTTTTCCCCATTTGTATTCCACCATTGCCCAGTGTTTGAGTTCTTATATCTGATAACCATGGACCAAGCGCCTAAATCTGGTACAGAGGTATTGTACCAAGAAATGTTCAAATTTTGTTTGGCAGATAATGGAAAAGTACCGTTGTTTTGTTTTTCCCTTGGAAGAAGGTGTCCCACATACAGTATTTTGTAAAATCTCGTAATTCGTAAGGGCTAAAGCCCCTATTATTTTGAAATATGGGGTTTTACTGTACAGGGTATGTGGAAATTTTCAGGATATATTAACTGGTATATTCAGCCTACTGCTGTGTTACATTAATTTTTGTTAAATTGTTTCTTGATACTGTAGAAGCATGATGACATCAGGATAACGAATAGCAGCTCAAATGATTAAATCTAATTTTGAATTAGTGTTTCAAACAAAAAAATCAAGATTGGTCACATTTTTACCATTCCAGTACAGTAGTTCTAAGTGTAAAAATTTTACTGCACTGTATACAGTACCTTTAATGTACTGAAATATTATATTTCACAAAATGTTTATTGAAGATATCTGAAATTTCTTTTTCTCCTGTGTAGACTCGTTGTGTAATGAAGTACGACCATAGCAACAGCTGTCTCAAGGTGAAGGTTACCGATGATATGGTGGTAAGTACTGCATTAATTACTGTGTGTGAGGGGATGTGGCACCCAAGTGGATATTGTACAGCACTTGCTTCCTGTTCTGTGGGTTGCTGGATTGATCTTGACTCCCATTGCACCCAGTTGTAAACCTGTATCTAACTTTACAATTCAAGGAAGTGAAGATGGTCATGTGTATTCCTGGCCAAGATGCCTCTTTGCATACCAATGGACAAGTTGATGGTTCTGGGGAAGCATATTCAACATACTTTGTCACGCTGTTAGAAAAATACAATATGCAGTACAGTACTGTATATTGTATTTAAATTAAGGTTGAAACCATCGTGATTTAATTGTGATGCTAAAATATTTGTGGCACTGAGGAGTCGGCAGTTGTATTGGTGATGGCATCAGAATCTAAGAGCAGACGACGAACATACACCTGCAGTCAAGCAGTTTACAGCGGTTGGCCACTTCAGATCACATCAGCCCTGTTCATGTAAAGTGTTGAGGTGCATTTTTAACGATGTGAGTCAGAGGTACTTTGTAAGTGATAAATATGCAGTGAACAGTAACAAATACAAGTTATAAGCTTCAATGTTTACACTATCAGCTGACCTGCTCAGACATTGCAGAATATACCCCGAAAAACCTACATAATTCTCACTCATCGTTATTATTAAAGCATAATATTTGGGAAGATATGGGTCAGTATACAAGTGATGACAGGGTCTGATCTTTGGTTTGAGAATTCTTTCTGCTGGGTAATCATTACAACATATTTTTGCTTTTAACTTGGTGGTGCACTCATTAACCCTTATCATTCATTAGTCATTATTTCCCAGATTGTACAAGCAAGAACTACTTGTTAGAGGTATGGTCAAAGTGTATATATTGCAGTTTGGTAACTAGGTGTGAGGAAGGACACAGTAATTGTATTCTAGATACTGTACTTTAATATTTGTACTGTACTTGAGACAGGTATTACCAGATACAGTTGTACATGTACTGTGGTTAGAAATATATATTATACATTCACAAATGCCTTATTGTGGTTGATTTAGAAGCATTAGAAATGGAAATTACAGTAAAAGTCCAAAAATCCGGACTTTTTGAAAACTCACTTTTTTTTTTAGCGGGCTTTTGTGTGTATGTGCGCATGCGTGAGCGCCACAGCTGCACAGCGACAACAAGCAACCACGTGGTTGCCACTTTGAAACGAGCAATCAAACTGTGACAACATATGTAATTTTGAGTCCTACTCTTTCCATTTACAGAGTACTGTACAAGCCCATAATAATGGCATCTAAAGTAGATAAACTTCGTTGTGTGAAGAGAAAGAAGAACACGTTGCAATTGAATGACAAACTTGAAATATTTAAGAAACCAGAACGTGGTGTGAGCAATACTGTTCTAATGGAAACATACGACATTGGAAAGTCTACAATTTATGATATAAAAAAGGCAACGAATAAAATTCTAGAATTCACAGCTTTTTCTTTAAAACTGCTCATTTTGATAAATGAAGCATGCTATATTTGCTAATGAATAAACTATCAAAATGTACCTGTTCATCTCTTCTTTATTCCTCCTTAAATTTGAATTTTAAAAGTACCGCCTGAGAATCCGGAAAATCCGAAAATCCGGACCGACCCAATCCCCAAGCAGTCCGGATTTTTGGACTTCTACTGTAGTACATTCTGTACAAGAAAACCTCAGCAAAATATGCAGCTTATTATTTTTCTTGTGAATGCACATATTTTTATATTTAAAAATGCTGGCTCTATATTTGGATAATGACTGTGGAGAAAATTAATAATTTTCTAATCAGCAAGATGTATGGAAAAAAATACCAAAAAGTTGTAAAATCGAGATAGTTCTTCATATCCTCCTTCAGCTGGAAAAAGAAATGCATAGATTAGGGGTCTAACAATGATTTGTTTGTAAGAGAAACAGTCATTACAAGTTCATGTACCTAAAATTTGCTCTAGAAAATGTGGGAAGAATTAATTTCATCTTACATTAGTTATCACCAGTGGCAGTTTCTTTTTAAAATTAAGAATGTTGTATCTAAGTACCAGATACTTTAATAGAATATTATAAATAAGCCTAAGCAATCATACAAATGGTGGACCTTTAGATTTTTTTTCGCATGTTGATTATGAACATGGCAGGATATTGAAGAAAAAATCACCTAATCTAATGAAACCTTACCTACAAAAGGTAGCAGTTAAGGGTGAAATATTTGGCCCCAGCCTGTCCCTAGGGTACCCCAGCATGTTCCTGGCTGTCCCTAGCCTATCTCTGATTGTCTCAGGTAAATGATCAGGTCATGACTATCTCAAGTCCTTTCCTGATTTAAAAAACTAAGGAAACAAGTGATGAAAGTTTCAATTTCTACTGTCAAAAATACTCATCTTTCTGTGCCTCTTTTTGGCACCCAACAGTCAATACAGTACATACGATAACATAACTAATTTATATACAGGTTGTACCTCTAGTCCGGCATTCTGTGGTCCGGAAACTCCCGTGGTTCGGAACGATTTTAGTTTGTTCAATAGGTAGATAGGCAACTTTTCTTTTTTTTTTTTTACTTATCTGAATTATTATTATTATTACAGGAGTATTAAATTTTTGCCCCTCAGGCCCCAATGTGGGTCAGTGACCTATGCCCGGGTGGGCTAATCCCCGTAAAAAAAACAACAACAAAGCCGCGGGAAATTAAGGTTTGTTTACATCCGTCAGTTCGGCGGCTCTCTCTCTCTCTCTGCTTGTCTGTACAGAGTACAACATTTAACCCTTCAATATATATGAGCAGTAAATAAGTGTTGCTTTCATATTCTTATGTAGAGTAATGACGATATGTTTTCACATGTGCGCACTTACATACGCGCAGTCTCACTTTTTTTTTACCATTAATGGTTAGCTACTTATATTGTTCCATTTATTAACATTAAATAACATTACAGGTACTTCAAACAGCCATATTATTTTTTTTTTACATTAATTTTACTACAGCTACAATCAGGGTCTTATTTTCTTCAGTTTTATATGTAGAACCAATCAGTCGCTGGTTTTGTAAGCTATAACATAAACAATGCCGGCAGCCGTCTCGTCTTCTCGTGTGTTTTAATATTCCACGTATTATTAATAAATTGTATTGTTAATTTTGCACACACAAACATTAATTCAATAAAAACAAATTCAGAAACATTAATTAAAATATATATGAACATTAAATAAGTGTTGCTTTCATATTCTTATGTAAAGTAATGATATGTTTTCATGTGTGCGCACTTACATACGCGATCTCTCTTTTTTCTTTACCATTATCGTTAGCTACTTCTATTGTTCCATTTATTAACATTAAATAACATTACTTAAAACAACCATATTAATTTTACTACAGCTACAACCAGTCTTATTTTCTTCAGTTTTATATGTAGAACCAGTCAGTCACTGGTTTTGTAATCAACGAAAACAATGCTGTGTCATTTCCTCGTGTGTTTTAATATTCTACGTATTATTAATGAATTGTATTGCTCATTTTGCACACAAACTTTAATTCAATAAAAAAGACATTCAGTAATAAACAATAATGAATCTTTTGTACATAAGAGAAATGACGCTGTTTACACGATTATGCACGTTGTCTGCACGTTGGCGGTCCGTTCAATCCCGTCGAAATTCAAGTTTCTGCCGTCAAAATTTTTATTTATTTTTTTTTGTGTGTGTGTGTGTGTGTGTTCCAATAAAATACGTTGAATTAAAAACTCGCGAAATTTGAGAAGCTACTATACGACATTTAACCCTTCAATATGTCTTAAAAGAGACCATGATGCAGAGAAAGTGGTGCGAGTGCTTCCAAGCATAAGCCACTATCTATCCAGGAAAAGGGTGAATTTCCATGGTCCAGCACCGGTCAGGTCCCGAGGTACAACCTGTATTACCAACATTAAAGACATGACAGTATATATTAACTTGATACTCACATTAAAATGATCTTCACAACAGTAGAACCAGTGCTCTAACAGGAAACTTTTGGCAAGCAGCAAGCCACCACATCTTCTTTCTCTTCATTTTCCTCTGTTTCCACATCTAAACTAAGCAACTGGTATGGAGCACCATTGCTATGGATGCTTAACTGTAGTCGGACAGACCTAGTGGTATGTATTTATGCAAACACATTGTACATGTAGTTATGTACAGTATACAGTACAGTGGTCCCTCGGTTAACGAACGCAATTCATTCCAGAAGGTCGTTCGTTAACCGAAACTATTGTTTCAATGGGATTTTGGGTAATTGGTTCCAGCTCACCAAAAATTACATATCAACTAAAAGTAAATGTAGTAAAGTACACTTACTTTGAGGTGTGCATGTAGAAGGCTCTTAGTTGATGATGATGATGATGGGAATTAGAATGGGGGTGGAGGAGAAGGGAGAAGAGAAAGCATTGGGGTGGAAGAGAAGTCACCCCATGCTGCCATTTCACTCATAAAATTTTAGTTCACCTGGTGTAATTCAAGGTTATTTTCTTTAAATGAACACTGCACTGCACTATATATTATCAATATGTAAAATAAACTTCAGAATGACCAATAATTGTACTGTAAAAACGTAAAAATAGTTTATATTCAAGAGTCTCAAGCAAGAAGCTTCCCCCACTGAGCGGGGACATACAATGACGCCATTTTGGGTGTGTTGAGTGGCTGTTTGGAGTGCTAAAAACTAGTTCCCTGTACTTCAATTATGTTAAATAATTGTTAAAATTACTAAAAACTTTTATATAAGACTTGGAAAATTATTGAATAGTACAACCTTCTTGATATTTACTCAAATGGTAACGAATTTAAGCCCTAAAACCGATTACTTTATTGACGGACTAATACTACAGCTGGTGAGCAGGTGAAAACATGTTGGGAAAAATTCGTAAGGAATTCGTTAACCGAAATTTTTTCTTTAACCCAAGTGAAGAATCTCATGGAAGGTAATTCGTTAACCGAGGGATCACTGTACAGTATTGTAAAACTCAGTTTGAATGAAACTCCGTGAGTACAACAACGTACTGTACTTGTAATGGTGAAATGTTCGTTTTGATGTTCCAAAACACTCCCATTTAATGTGTATTTCCGTGTTATTGTAATCATCACTCGGTGACTTGATTCATACAGCTGCTTCTTGACTTATGACGGGGTTTGGGATCCAAATCCAGGTCGTAAATCGAAAATGCAAAGATAATACGTACATAGAAAATCTAAAATGGGTGTCTCTTTTTCTTCTCAGCACCACAAAACTCTCACTTTTTAGCATGCCAACCATTTTAAAGGGAATTACAAACAAAAATTTTGTTAGTACACAGTGCAATCACTAACGTCGGGACTCGAAAATATGTAATTTGAAAAAATTTTGGTACGACTGGGGCGGTCGTATATCCGGGTAGTAATAAGTCGAGGAGTAGCTTATGCCTTGCTTCTACCCAGCACGAGGCATACATTAATATAGCTTAATGAAATTCTTGTTATATTGAAGTACCTAGTATGCCATACAAGGTTGACCACCACCGCTCCTACCCTCATATGTAGCTATTGCCGATATGGTGAGCAGGCATACCAACTTACGATGATGCATGGGGATCATATCAAAGCATTTTGTCTCGTGTTTCAAATTGTACTGGTGGAAATATAACGATATTTTTTTTTTTGGGCGGGGGAGGGACTTTACAGCTCTGTACGCAAAAACAGCAGTTAGGGAGGGAACAAGCTTTACAATGGCAGCAGAATATGAACTAAGCAATCCAAGCCTAGGCCACCCATGTGCCTGGCACATGGAACATGATGCAATATCTTGGAACTCAATGAAAACTTATTCTTAGGCCCAGGACCGAGAGATTTTTTTAAATTTTCAACCTCAAACTCATTGATAGTTTCAGAATCAAGAGAATCTTTCCTGAAAAATTTGAAGCCAATTTCAATTTTGGGTATTGGAGAGTTCTGGCTAACAGTGATATTAATATAAATAGAAAGTATGTCACTGAAAGCTATAGAATTTGAGAATGTGTGACTGGACAATGAGGGGTGATGCATTACTTATTGATCATAAAAGAGAATTATTGTGCTTATAAATATTTCACTGTATGATGTTTGAAAGCAATACAAAATACATGATATGATGTTGGTAATCTATAACTGCTAGTTTCTGTAATACAGTAATGATGGATTATTTTGAATGAGGGTTAATTTTAGAAAAATGGGTTAAATTGTTTTACCCATTTCCCTCTTTTTCAGTGCGTTCAGTACAAAACCGACAGCCAACAAGAGCTAAAGAAACTGGAGAAGTTGATCAGCAACTTGATGAAGCACATGGCATCAGGTGAAAGATAACTTTTACCTTCTTCCAGATGCCAACTTCCTCATCCTTCATGTGGTTTGTAATCATTTCATCAACTGCTCTGTTGTGGTTTATTCTTTGTAGGTTAATAAAAAACCTTTAATATTCTTTACATATATAGTTTCATTTACACATTTGTTATGTTACAGCATATTGCAAGATCATTGATGTAACCTACTGTACTATATATGCACTTCTTACTTGACAGTGTCACACAACCCTTACAAAGACTGTTTTACCGGTAGAAATATTTTGAAAACAGGTTATCTTGTAATTCAGTATTCCCCCCCCTTGCTATATTTTTTTTCCTAAGTAAAAATAAATTTTGAAAAAGAAAATATCTAGCTACGGCTTATTGAAATTAGGTTAGAATATTTTGACTTGAACCTTGAAATAGCACCCTAAGGATTAACTTGGGTGTACAGTTGTCTAAAAAAACGACGCCACGATCAAGGGATGGTTAAGGCTTACACCAAGTAAGCCATGGTATAGCCCCAGTAATTTCTTTTCCCAAGCTTAGTTTTATCCTTTTCTGTCCATACCATATTCCCATAAATACAATAAGATAAATTCTCGGTCTTTGAAAACTGTAATTTTACAAATTAAAAGGAAATCAGCGATTAGAGGAACATTCACGATGGTCAGCGTTTACTTAATTTCATAACCCCCCCCTTTCTTCCTTGCCTGACCTATCCTGCCACCCAAGGTTTGTTATCTTCTCCATCCTCTTCCCTCTAGTCAACTACACCTAACATACTGTAACCCTATGTAACCCATGATATCTTCCTATTTGCAGTATTCCTCCCTTGGTGTTTTAGATCGTGGTTTGAGTGTATGGCTTTATCAATGACTATTACCCATTGTCTGATACATGTGTGTGTCTGTCTGTATGTCAATGTCTCAGACTTAATGCTTGTGTTTGACCATGAATATCATTGTGTTAATGAATCACTGTGTCAGTGACCATATATCTTATTGAATGTCTGAAATGTCTAGTCTCTGTGTTTATGACTTTGTACAGTAATTCAGTCTCTTCCGTTTTTCAGATATTGTAGTTTAACAACAGTTGTAGCATTTAAGATAAACAGATCCTATGCCAAGAAAGTTTGCAAAATGCACCTCGTGCACTCAGAAGTGGAAGCTAGAAGTTAAGAGGCGTGAAAGTCACCAGAGCAATGTTTCAGTTTGTGAGGCAAAGCGTTCTTTCTCACAAATAGGTATGATTAAAACTGTATGAGGGCATGCCCTCAGACAAAAAGTTAAGCAATTTTTGTATTCTCTCAACAGAGTTTGATCTTAAACAATCATTAAATTTCAAAAATGTTGTGCATAACTTTGCAGCAATGAAGTCAAGGATGAAAACTTTTGTGTAATTGTTTGTTACTATTAATAAAGCTATTGTTATATGCATTTAGTGAAGTAACTTTTGTCATCTTGTGCTAAACTAGAAATAATATATTGGAATAAAACTTTTGTGTAAATGTACGAGATCTATACCCCTGTATTTCATTGTCTATTATTCTAAACTAATAATTTATTTAAATAAGACATTTGTTATGAATGAAGCTATTATAATACAGGTTGTACCTCTCTAGTCCGGCATTCTGTGGTCTGGAACGATTTTAGTTTGTCCAATAGGTAGATAGGCAATTTATTTTTTTTTGTTTTTTTTACTTATCTGAATTATTATTATTATTACAGGAGTATTAAATTTTTCCCCCTCAGGCCCCAATGTGGGTCAGTGACCTATGCCCGGGCGGGCTAATCCCCGTAAAAAAAAAAAACAAAGCCGCAGGAAATTAAGGTTTGTTTACATCCGTCAGTTCGGCTACTCTCTCTCTGCTTGTCCATGCAGAGTACAACATTTAACCCTTCAATATATATGAGCAGTAAATAAGTGTTGCTTTCATATACTTATGTAAAGTAATGATGATATGTTTTCATGTGTGCGCACTTACATATGTGATCTCTCTTTTTTCTTTACCATTATCGTTAGCTACTTCTATTGTTCCATTTATTAACATTAAATAACATTACTTAAAACAACCATATTAATTTTACTACAGCTACAACCAAGGTCTTATTTTCTTCAGTTTTATATGTAGAACCAGTCGGTCACTGGTTTTGTAATCAACGAAAACAATGCTGTCTCATTTCCTCGTGTTTTAATATTCTACGTATTATTAATGAATTGTATTGCTCATTTTGCACATAAACATTAATTCAATAAAAAAGACATTCAGTAATAAACAATAATGAATCTTTTGTACATAAGAGAAATGACGCTGTTTACACGATTATGCACGTCGTCTGCACGTTGGCGGGCCGTTCAAACCCGTCGAAATTCAAGTTTCCGCCGTCAAAATTTTTATTTATTTATTTTTTTGTGTTCCAATAAAATACGTTAAGAATTAAAAACTCGCGAAATTTGAGAAGCTACTATACGACATTTAACCCTTCAATATGTCTTCAAAGAGACCATGATGCAGAGAAAGTGGTGCTAGTGCTTCCAAGCATAAGCACAAGTCACTATCTATCCAGGAAAAGGGTGAATTTCCATGGTCCGGCACCGGTCAGGTCCCGAGGTTGCCGGACTAGAGAGGTACAACCTGTACTATGCTTCCATTAAGTGTGTTCATTTTATGTATTTGTCCTGAACTAGAAATTATATATAGAGAAATGCTTCTAGTAGATAAACTCCAATCTTATATTAATGTACTGAAAAAAATAATTACACAGTTGATAATGAATACGTGAGCTCCCCCCCCTCCCTTAAAGCTCTTGGCATAGGGCACCCTTAACTTTAACCAGGCCCTGGTCACGATTTCCAGAAACTTTCATTCAGAAAGTGGTATCGGGCAACTACCAGACTCGCTTTATTTATTTCAAGGTGGAATACAATTCTATGAAATAGTAACAGAAATTAATTAATAAATGCTAAAGCAGTTTTTCATATAAATATTGTAAGAGCAAATCATGTACAATAGTTAACATTTCAGTATACTGTACTGTATTTTGAAACAAAATAATATGACAAGATTATTGTTTAGGGACCAGGAAAAATTTGTGGAGTTATAATTTGATGTCAAAATGAAGAGATATATACTAATTGTGTTAAGCTGAAATGATTATCGAATAAAAAATATAAATTGAAATAATATTCATACTCGCCAGGTTTATGTCATGTATTTAATTAATATTTAAACAAATATTCTTTGTATTCACCACCTCCATGGACGATGACATGGTGGGAAACATTCACAAAACAACATTTTGAACTTTAGATAAACTTTCTGCTTAAATAAATGTTTCTTGATACCTTTTCCCCTAATTATTATAAAATTAATTGTCATTTATAATCTGAAGGTATTGTATTATTTAGCACCCAAGAATAAAATATAAAACATTGTCTCATTCAGTGGCCATTTGTTACGGATTAAAAAATTAAAATTTGGTTAAATTGTTAACTTCTATAAAACCTATTCAACTAATAATAATTTTTGAGTAACAAATGCCTTTCATATTATTCTAAAAATAAAGCTACTTCTAAACAAGGAAATAAGCCATATGCAGAATATTGTACACTCGAAGTAAGTGTTATCAGTTTGTGTTGCTGTATCATCTCAGATTGGCTGTCTTTTTTTTCTTTTCTTTTTATCACTCATTTTCTTTCTTTCAAGCATAGGATTGGGATATACTAGTACTTTTGCTACCCATTTTGAAGCCTTTTACCTGCAAAAATAAGATGGCCAGAAAAAAAGTTGGTTAGTGAGAAATTTGACTCGGCAATTCGTTAATATACCATCTTGGTACAAAGGCGTCCAGCCCACTGGTCAGCAGTCATTCACTAGCCGGGCTCCTGCCAGATTGCATTTCCTTTAAAAATTTTTATGCTTATTTAAAAAAATATTAAAAGTTAACTGAAATGCAGTGACAATACAAATAATACTCATAAAACTAATGCATATAAAACAGGAATGTAAAGATACTTTACAAGTATTCCTCGCAATCCAAAAATTATATTTTTACATATCTTCACTATCCGAAAGTGATCCTTGCTTTTCTGAAAGATGGTCAAATAAAAAATTCAAATCGCCTTGTGGTGAGCCCTGACCCTCCAATAAGGTAATGTTCTAACTGTACACTACATTATATTTTATTGAGTTTAGTAATTAACATGCAGTACTTCTGTAGGTTTTTTTTTTGTTCACACCATTTATTTCCCATTTGTTCTGTTATTTGGTATATGAAAATTAGATATCAAAATGCAAAACATGGGTGAAACAGTGGCTCTTAGATTAAAAATATAGGAAGCTATAATCAAATGTTCAGTGAACTGAAACTTGGTGAAGCAAATGAAGGCAGGCACTACATTTGTATGTTACCAGACATGTATCAATCCCTTCTTGGTAGAGTAACTCCTCTGATTGCAGAGGTTAACATACAAATGCAAGACTCACTCAGTGCAGGGGCACAAGTGGAGGCTACACTACAGTACCTGGCGACGGGAATACCAGGATTTAGTTATGCAGCTCTACTTTTTTGATGAGACTATTATCTTAGTGCCTTCTTGTACTGGCTATGCAAGGTGTTTATTTTTTTCTTTACCATGTCAAGCATGCATTTAGGATTCAGTGCTTTAACAGACAGACAGGTGTAGGTCATTATATGCTATAGTTTTCTCATTTCTCTTCTTGTAGGCCTCACATTTTACCTGCCACCTGGAACCTCATTAACTGATTCCTGTGGAGCAAGAGTAGGGTCAGCGACAACTTCCATTCTTAGCTCAGAATGGTAATGTACTGGCGAGCAGAGTTGCCAGATAATATAGACCATATGAACCTTGTGACATGATAGACGACTTAGTAATACAGTCAGTTCTGCTATAACGCGATAGTTGTGTTTTTGTAAAATATCGTGTTATAGAAAATCGCGTAATAGAAATAACATGGCTTTATGGAGAAAATAGGGTTAGGTGCAGATTACTACTTGAAATCGAAAAAAAATTAGTAGTTAGCCTAACACAAGGGATAGCACAGTCTAAATAAATGTTACATTCATATCTAATAATGAAATCATACAGTACCGTATATCACGGCCTATAAGACGAAATTTGAACATTAAAAAAATCTGCCCAAAGTTAGGGGGTCGTCTAAACCACCAAGTTTAAAATTCTTACCTCTTAAATATTGTGGTTTAGTGTGTCAAGAGTGGTGATGAAAACATCGTAAGCCACTCACAAGGTCTTACCACTAATTATTTTATACTGAAACTTACGTTTGGCAAGCTGGATTCAAATTAAGATTACCGGTATATTAAAATAATAAAAATGTATTATAAACCTGTCTAACATACCGTAAAAGAGATTTATACCCCTATAATAAACACAGCTATCATCACACACCCCTCCCCACGCCCCCCCCCCATTTGCCAGTGAGGAGCCGTGGAGGTGGTCAGTAATGCATACCGGTATCGGTATATTTACTCATAATAATATTTATCTCCTATAAATAATTGATTTAAATTTTATTTTTTTCCAAAGAATATTCAGTAAATGAGTGCATTAATTCTTGAAACTATCGACGGTTAATTACAGACACTCAAGTGACGTCACTAGTGTTTACACTACACCAGCTGGTAATATTTGATGCCATTACTTGAAGTGAATTGGCCTTATTTTAAGTAACTAACTATAAATAAATACAAAAATTAAAAAAAAAGATCAAAACTGAGAAATAATATACTGTATGTATGTTGTGTTGTCAAAGTAAGAGGAACAATTGTGTAAGTACGTAATATTTTTTCACTCAAATCCTAATGAAACACTACTGGAGAACATTCCTTTGTCGCAAAACAGTTTATAAATTAAAGAAAATAATTACAGTGTGTTTAATATATTACAGTATATTATAAATAAATAAATAAAACAAATAATTCGGTAAATCTATTTAAAGTAAATGGAAAATAAGCAAACATGTTATTTACCAAGACCCTTCCGTCTGGCTCAGGGTGAGATGTAGGGGAGATAAAGAAGGCTATTTATAGCCCATCAGAAGTGACCAGTACCCTAATGCACCATAAATAATTCATTGAACATTCATTTTTTGTACATATATATATATATATATATATATATATATATATATATATATATATATATATATATATATATATATATATATATATATATATATATATATATATATATATATATATATATATATATATATATATATATATATATTTGTGTAATAAATGTATGTAGTAAGTACATACTGGTAACCTTTTTCACTCAAATCCTAATGAAACACCACAATTAGAATACGGTGGTTGCTGTTGAACCACATGTTGTATAAATAGTCACACCACCGAGACGAGGGAACACTCCCACCACGCTTCAGTGACGTCACTAGTGTTTACACTACACCAGCGGGTATAATTTGATGACATTACTTGAAGTGAATTGGCCTTATTTTAAAAAATCAAGGATGGTTGGTAAAGGACTACTGAGTCAGTGGGTAAGTGTCACATTTGGGGTACTGGTCTTATACAGCAAATAGAGCTCAAAAGCTACTTTTTAAATGGAAATTTGGGGGCGTCTTATGCACCCCGCCGCCTTATAGGTGATATACAGTAAATGTAACACTTTACCTTGAAAAAATATGAATATAACTTGATGGGGGAGAAGGGTGATTTTGAGGTTGATAACATCAAGCTTCTCTTCAAGTGTTATATCCTTTCTTTTACGATCATCACCGGGAATTCGATCACCAGAACGCTTCTTGTCTTCTTTACCATATTCACAGTTAATACCACAAAATTGGAGAAATAGTAAGCAAAAATCGCGATACAGCAAACAAGCGTTCGCGTTATACAAATATCGTTCCTCTATTCATAAATCGCGTTAGAGCAAATTCGCGTTATCAAAACACGCGTTATAGCAGAACTCACTGTATAGGTATAATGAGGTAAATCTGGGAGATTTTCAGGTAATTTTCTCAATAAGTTTGAACATTCTGGTGATATCCAACTACAGCCACTCCTCGACTTACGACGGGGTTAGGGACCCAAGTCCAGGTCATAAGTCGAATTGGTCGTAAGTTGAAAATGCGAAGATAATACAAAGAAAATCTAAAATGGGTGTCTCTTTTTCTTCTCAGCACCACAAAACTCTCACTTTTATGCATGCCAACCATTTTAAAGGGAATTACAAACGAAAATTTTGTCAGTACACAGCACAATCACTAACGTCGGGACTTGAAAATACATAATTTGAAAAAATTTTGGTCCGACTGGGGCGGTTGTATGTCCGGGTGGTTGTAAGTCGAGGAGTAGTTGTATATTACCCATAACTTGAAACATCTGGCATAGAGCTAAAATGTCTGGTGAAACCAAGACTTGTCTGGCAACACTGCTGTAGCCGTAGGTGTCAGGTGCCCACGCACAAATATATCGCTTGCTCATGAACTACCTCGTTTAGGGATGTTGGTTCGGTTGCTCGCGTCTACACGTTCATTTTCCGGGTACTCGCCGTTACCAGGCGCGAACACCACAGGTGGGAACTGATGGTGTAAACGGGGCTTAATTCATTTTGTAGAGATAGCATTTGAGTACAGCCCATTCATCCTCCAGCGTGATTGGATCCACTTCTGCCTCCCTTAGTGTTTTATCAAGACACTGAGCCAGCGCTTCCACAGCGGTGTCTCTGAAACCTTCATTCCCTATTTATTCTGCAGGCCACAGCTTGAAATCCAGAATCCATGAATTCTGCAGAACTGTACTGGCCATGTTAATAAATCTTTTCTTTAGACTTGTAATCAGAGATGTCAGCATATCATGGCTCGTAGCCATAGAGGTGCTATTTCTATCACTCAGCTTCTCTCGTTGGTATACGGTACTCGTTGGTATACGGTAGTGTCACCTTCCAAAATCTTCCTCAGACTGGGTTCTGGGCTTGTCAAATATTTATTAAGTCAACTGAGGCCTGAATTTCAGTCATGATAACAGAAACACTGGTTTGTCTGTGTTGAAACTGCTCTGAAAAAAGCGCCCAAGGAAATGCAAGATATCCCGGAGGAGGTGGATGTACTCGATTACATCAGCACTGGTTAGAAGCATTGGATAGTTCGTAGCTTTTCTGGATGAGTTCTTGTGGTATGCAGGGTCATTAGGGTTCTGTATCTGCTGCAAGTGAAGTACAATAGCCTTGTAACTCTTTTGTAAATGTTGTAAAGCCTGCAGCATATGAGGGAGCCACCTTACACCACCCACAAGTGTTGGAACCAAAAATGGTAGCCGACATATTTCATAAGCCCGCTTCAACGTGCTCTTGTTGAGAGAACTCTTCACAGAATAGGTATATTCCTAGCAGCAGTAGGTCAACCTTCTTGGCAGGTGGTACAGCCTTCACTGCATCCTTGTAAGTCAGTTCAAGTGCACTGCAGTGAATACCTTCCAACTCATAAGCTTTTTCCTCCATGTGTCACCATAATATGAATCTAATGTACAGTTGATTGTTCATATTGACGTTGCTGCTCTACCTTTTCTTCTTTTGTTTTTTGTTTTTTGCTTGGTGGTGGATTAACATTCTTCCACATGCCAAACAATCCCCTTTGGGGACTCATGATAATTAATAATGTCTGTGTTGTTAGACATCACATCAATACTGTACGGAGGTATTAGTTGCTTTGAGATTGCCGACTCCCTGGGAGCAGCAGAGCGCAACGACCAAATATGCGGGTTAACTTGTACAACACATGTTTGCTCTTGCAATGCCTTTTATAAACTGGGCACTAAACACTTCCTTATGGTAAAGCAGACTGTCAAAAAAAATTGTTTATTTCAAAACTACTGGATAGCACCTAGACACTGCAAGTCTGACATGCTAGTCACCTGCCGGGTGATTAAAAACCAGTAAATTTCCATGATCTACTCGCCCTTCTGATATTTTGGTCGCCTCGGGCGGCCTGGCGTATATGAATTTCTATCTGCACATTATTGTATTGTCATCATATCCCGAGTCATCCATATCTTTTTCAATACCAGACAACCACATTCACTCTTAGATTTTCTGGGCACTCGGAATGTTCCAGGGACATTTACACACGTCTACACTTGGCCATGACTGAGAAGACACTAGCAGGTTTAGAGATAACTTTGTGGTGCTGTGGTTGCCTCCTTATATGCCTCAGGGTTTATACATGCCATATTTTTTTTTTTTTAAACAGCTTAGGGTTTTAACATCTGGAAAAAGTAAATTTTTTCCTCGGTCTCTCATATGCTCTCGGAAGCTCAGTGCTGACTATCATCACACATATAGTTGGCAAGTCGCCGAATGGCTGGTGTTGCCGGGAGCTCTCATATTGGCAGTAATGTGTACTGTCTCCGCTGTCACACTCGGCTCCATTCAAGCCTCATGCCTCAAAAATACTGACCTAATTGTGTTCGTAAGATGAATTTGGGACCATAATGATCCTGAATAATTTATTTACAGGGTTGTTACAATAAAAGATCCTAAAACAAAATATTTTGACATACAATGATGGGGCTCAATTATTTTAAGAATGTAAGAAATAATTATACCAGATTCTTTAAAATCAGATCTAAGTAAGTTAGAAACACCAATTTTTTACCCAAAATAATGCCGAAGAATTTATCTGTATGTTTAAATAAAGCCGCTTTTTTCTAAAAACCAGTTTTTGTGATATAGCTCGAATGCTACGTCAGCAAATGATGGGGGACTCGATTCTTTTATGAAAATGTAGTATTTATAAAATCAGCTCTAATTAAGTTGGAAACAATTTTTTTTTTACTAAGATAATCCTCAACAGTTTTATAAATATATGGGCCAACAAATGGAGGTATTTTTGGGGTGCGAGGCGTGAAAGGAGCCATGTTACAGTCGAGACAGTACACACTGCTGCCAAGTGTGTATGAGAGACCTAGGATTTTTTTCTCATATGTTAAAACCCGAAGCAACTAAATGTTTTTGCTACATGGTCCTAAACGCAATGGAAGAGTGTTTGTCTGTGCAAGATGCATTGTTTAGACTCTTGGAAACTTTCCCCAGTACCCAGAAAAATTAAGGGGATGTGTAAAATTTCTGGGATGAGAGAAGTTGCAAGATGATATCAATGTCCTCAGACATCAGTGATTATGTGTCATTCATAATGATGAATCACTTCAAATTGGCACAAAAAAATCAGATAGAGCGATGCTTGCCACTCACACCTGATGGCATTGCCTTTAATTATGTTGTCATAATATGTTATACCCTGTACACTTTCACAGAGTATCATGGCAATATGACATCAATAACTTTATTAAATAATGAGGAAAAAAAATTTGAATCACTGGTGCAAGGGTGGGAGGCAGTGTCAGCAGAGGTTTACTCTTGCTACCATGAGATGACAATATTTACTGGGGAGCAAAGGCCATTCCAATGTCAAAGAAGGATGGCGCAACACTGCAGGACCTTCAAACCTTTTTGGAACACTGTTGGGAAAACCTGTATGTTGTGGTTAACTACAAGTTGCTATATCAGGATTTATCCTGTTATCACAGCTTTCAAAATGGGAGTCTATTGGAAAATATGCTTTGATTTTGGGAAGGTTTTCAGGAATAGAACCCTTTCATAAATCAATGTCTGCCTATGCTTACCCCACAGACCAGTCATAGTTTGGCCTAAAGCCTGTATATGTTAGGCTGAGAATTTCTTACAGTTTGGTCAAGAGACTGTCCAGTTTGAGGCAAAAATCCAAAGTTAAGGGGTATTTGTGTGCATAATATTAAACCCATTCTACATTTTATACCCAAGAAAATCTGAAATATATACATAGCAATGAGTAATTATTCTCATCTACAAAAACTGACGTCATTACTTTTTATGACCCTAAATTTGAAAAATCTTGCTCTTTTCAAATAGCACAGCACATAAAGTATATAGCTTGGCTTGGCTATTCTTAAAAAAGCTTTCAATAGATTCCTATACATGACCCAAGAGAAATATTTGTAACTTAAGGGTACTGTTCTGTTTTACAAATTTATAATTTAAATTTCAGTTCTCACTGAAGTACTTTCAAAAAGATAAAATACCAGTATACCTTACCATGTATGTAACTATTTGTGGTTTATAATGATGTACAGTATTATCAACACATGGTCAACATTACTATTGTACCAGATATAATACATAAAACTGTTAAAGAACTGTAGTAATGACAATAATAATAGTGTAATAATCAATATAATAGATAAATATGGAATGCATACCTCAGTCTGTCACCAAGAACTTACTGTTGGACATTAGTGGCTATTTTAAATATCCTAGAGTTTGCTTGGCAATGGTTTTGTTGTAGTTGCATCATCACCAGCTGGGACAATATCGGAAAAATCTTCAAATGCTGCTTGGAGAACCTCTTCAACTGTGTTCACTAGCACCACCTCTACTTCATTCTGAAGGCAAAAAGGATACCGATAATGAAAAACATTCTCTTACTAATTTCTTAAATTAAAATCCTCCATTATTAATAACTTCTATACTACTAAATAACCATCATCATGCTGGGAAACAGAGTTGATAGTTTGTTTACAATATTCAGCATGTGTTGCCTAACACACTATCTATATACACAGTAAAATCTCATTTATCCAGCACCTATGGGGGTTGAGAGGTGCTGGATAGAAATATTTTCCTACAGTGCTACAGGCTGACCTTGCAAATTATTGTCTTGGTAGTCTATTTTTCCGCAAATCCGTGCATTTTCATGAATGTTCCCCAATTACTTCGTTTTTTGGTTGTCCGTGTACATTTGAGAAATATTTTTTTTTAATTTAAATGATTATAAAAATGCATGGATTTGCAGAAAAACTGACTTGAATTATAGGTAGAGAAACCAGTTGTTTGATAAAATTTAGAATTTGTATTACAAAAACTTTCTCCATAAAAACATCAAGACCATCTCTGAAACATTTATCATTTCTAACCCAAAATATTATGAAAAAAGTGCTAATTTTAGTAGCCATGGTACCATACCTTATTTTTTCCATAAGGTATTAAATTCACGATTTACGGAGATTTCCAAGAACGTAACCCTTGCGGATACAGGGGATAAGTGTATGTGGTTGCCTCAGGGTGGTTCCACACAAGGTGGGATGTGCCACCCCCACAGTCATTGTTTATCTTCCACATGTATCAGATGTGTTGTTGCGGACTGTGCTTTATCTTAGTACAAGTACTATACAGTACAGTATTAACTTTATTGCTTTTAATTACAATGAGTGGCAAGGGTGTGAAGCATTCTGGTATTAGTAGTAGTGGAAGTGAAGTAAAACATAGAAAGGCTGTAACTCTTGAACAAAAATTAGATGTGATAAAGTGGTATGAACCCTCACCTCCTCCACCACTTGTCTTCTTGTGGTGAATGTTAAAATATTCATACAAGTTTATTGACAATGCTTATGATTATTTTTTTTCAAAAAGGTTTTATCATCAAAAGCTATTAAGCAAGCCATACTCCATTACATATTATTTCGTCATTTTTGTTCTGTAGAGAGCCCTCCTGACCAGATTGGAGGTTTGGACTCCTTTTTTGTACACTTGCCCTTGTGCTTGCAGTAATATGACAGTACATTGTTGGGGGCACCTGCTAATAGTGGATCAACACTTCAATGGACTAGTAGTATGGGGGTGGGGAAATCCAGCAGTTGTGTGTATTGGACAAAATATGGAAACAAAAGACCTACGAGATTATAAAGATATTTTTATGATACTAACTTACCAAAACTGAATTTGGAATTTCAGCCATGTCCTTTTTATTGGCTGCAGGAATAATGACAGTGGTCAGTCCTGCTCGATGAGCTGCCATTAACTTCTCCTTGATTCCACCAACCTGTAAATTTCTCATATTAGTACGTGTATTTGCATATGGATGGTGTTTATTGAAAATACTAACATTTTATTGATAATTAAAACTTAAAATAAAGGCACAGTTAAACTTATATGAAGGGTCCTTAAACTGAGAAGAGTTAACAAATAGCAATATGCCTATTAATGCAGGCATCCCCCACGTAACGGAATCCACCCTTATGGACTTTTGTTTAAAATATGCAATCTTCAACCAAATTTTTACCCAAATTGTAAATTATATTTCGTGTAGATTCTTTGTGGTAACCACAAGGCAGTTGGAGGGCTGCTCAACTCCCCAGTTGCCAGCAACTACCACAACAATGGCACTGCTCAGTTAGCATTCTTTCCCTTGCTTGTGTTCATGATTGTATTTATCCTTGCGGAATTATTGTTAACGCCACAGTATGATAAACTAGAAGAGAGAGAAAGAGAGGGATAGAGAGAGAGAAAGGGAGAGAGAAGAGACAGAGTGTTGACAACGAACTTTGCTGAGGTGTTAAATGTGCAGGCCAGAGATGGAGCTGGTAGCAGCTGTGTGACTGTCTGTGGGACAGTCTTTCGCCTTCTACTGTAAAGGCAACATCTGGATTCTCATCAGCCAATATCACCAGCAAGACATTAGATTTGTTCTCGTTGATCTAACCCTAGACCCCAAAACGTGAGTGTGATTGTGAACTGTTGAATTCTCTGAGAACTCTAAATAACTTCAATAAGTGTAATTATGTACTGTATATTGATCGTATTATTCAAACTGTGTCCTGATGTACCAGCAGTTGTTATATGTGAATTGTACTAAACAACAGTTGTTATATGTGAATTGTACTAAACAGGTTTTGACCGAATTACAGTATACTCATCGCGTCAACGACAAGGGTCTTATTGTCCTGCGCAAACCAAAATCGCTCCTATGAGTGATTACAATTATGATTAATATATTAAGATTTTCAAAAGAAAAAACTCACATATTATAAAATTTATTTCGTGTGGATTCTGGTGGTAGTTACATGAACGCTGGAGGGCGGCTCAGCTCTCCAGCTGCTAGCAGCCACAACAACAATGGTGCTGCTCAGTTTGAATTCTTTCCCCAGTTTGTGCTCAGTTATACATCTGTATTGCTGTGTACCCTTACTCAAGAAGTGGAAAAAAGACCATCAAGTTCAAGTGAAAGCAGTGGTGATAAAAGATTCCATAAAGGAATTGCGTTAAACAATAAATATGATGTTTTAAGGAGGTAACTCCCAGTAACTCCGATTGCACCACCTCACCTCACCATCTGCAACACTAAACATCGTTTCTGGTGAGTGAAATTCGAGTATTTTGTGCATTTATAATTTCGTTACATCATGAATGACTCATTGTGGTTAAAACTGTAAATTTTCATTCATATACTGTATGTGCTTGGGTTAATTTTGGGCCTCAAAAAAATTTCCTGTAGGAATGCATCTCACCTTATATAATGGGAGACAAAGGGAAAAATGGTTTCGCAGTACAGAATTTCGCGTTGCAGAAAGATTTTCAGGAATGGAACCCTTCTGTATCCCGAGGGATGCCTGTACAATATATTCTATTAATAAGTTAACATATTCAAACAAATTACACCAACTTACTGGCAATACAATTCCATTAAGAGTAATTTCTCCAGTCATAGCCACATCTGAACGAACACACCTATCAGAAAGAAGTGACACCAACACAGTAAGTATTGTGACTCCTGCTGAGGGGCCATCCTTACTGATAGCTCCAGCTGGGAAGTGCATGTGGATCTCCTCATCTTTCATAAAGTCATTTTCTAATTTCAACTGGAAGGAAAAAAAATTGTTTAGAAGCCATGACATGTAGTACAATACAGCAATGTAGTTGTATTGATCTCAATATTTCAAAATACAGTGAGTTCACATGAGTGAACCTCATGATTACATCACCTGTTTTTCTTCAATAATGCCACAGTATATTACAGACTCCAGTGTCACAATATCCCAGTGAGTTTACTTAACACCCGTGACACACAGCACATTACTCTTACCAGAAAAGAGTGCTGTCTGACCCATGACAAGGCAATCTTGGCTGATTCCTGCATAACAGAACCCAGTTGGCCTGTGAGAGTAAGACCAGAATCTCCTGCAGTACGTGAAGCTTCCACTACCATTACTTCACCACCAACAGGGGTCCATGCAAGACCCACAGCTACTCCAGGAACACTAACTCGTCCTGCTAACCCACTTTGAAATATAGGTGGCTGTAGGAAAATACACCAACCAAAATAAGTAAAGAGTTTAAAATTTCAATAAATTTCAGACAGTTAAACACAACAGCAACATGAATAACTATATTACAAATAACAGCCAGATGACTTTCTTCTTTATTATAGTAAATAAGATGTTTTACCCCAAGGACGTCATGAATCATCTTTACGTCAACAGTGATAGGCAAGTCCATGTGCTCTCGCAATTGAGAGAGATTGATGAGGGGCTTCTGAGGCACTTTCCCTGTTTCTTGTTGAGGTTTATTTTCATGATGTTCATCACCCTGTTCTTCCATTTTGTTGTCATGCTCATCAGCTTCTGCTACCATTACTTCTGATGTCTTGGTTTCATCTTACGGTTAAAAATATAAAATCTATCTTTAGAAATAAATATAAAATATAAATTAATTAGTTCCATTAAATTAAACTCACTATACTGTAGATGACTTAACATTGTTTTACAAACTTCTTAAATAATAATCACAGTAAAATGAAGCTGTATGTACTCATGCACACTACAATACTATGATTTCTCACACAGCGAGGAAAGCTAAATTAATGATTTGTAAAATGCAAGGCTAAAATGATGTATAAATTCAATTCCTGTGTTCGTTATTCGATGGGTTGCACTAGGTGTCCAAATCTACATACAAGTCCCAGAATACTTCAAAATGGGATAAAATTAATACAAATGTGTCCCTTCCCCCAAGAAAATCCCATCTGTTGCCTTCCATACCTAACAGGAAGACAGTGTGGATAAGAAACTACAGTAATCATCATATTTAAAGTATCTTAATACAGTATATGAATGAAGTAAAGGTCCCTGCCACATACCATGGTAAGGCTTGGTCTCAGCCACTCGAACAGCAATAGCCCGGCACACGGCTCCAATCTTACGTTCTAGTGTCCTCACACCAGCTTCTCTAGTATACTCTCCAACTGAGATGTAAAACAAGATTATATACACTAAAACATTAGAATAATTAGGGCTGTAATAATACAACTACTATGTACAAGTTAAATATTAAGTTTTACAATGATATTTAAGAGTACTGTACTATATTGATGTTGCATATTTAATGTTAAAATCATTCGGGGATATACAGAGTAGTTCTGCTACTTAGCGATAAGTGTAAAATATCGTGTTATAGAAAATCGCGTAATAGAAATAACAGGGCTTATGGAGAAAATAGGGTTAGGTGCAGATTACTCGAAATCGAAAAAATTTAGTAGTTAGCCTAACACAAAGGATAGCACAGTCTAAATAAATGTTACATTCATATCTAATAATGAAATTATACAGTAAATTTAACACTTTACCTTGAAAAAATATGAATGTAACTTGATGGGGGAGAAGGGTGATTTTGAGGTTGATAACATCGAGCTTCTCTTCAAGTGTTATATCCTTTCTTTTACGATAATCACCGGGAATTCTATCATCAGAACGCTTTTTGGGATATTCTTCTTTACCATATTCACAGTTAATACCACAAAATTGGAGAAATAGTAAGCAAAAATCGCGTTATAGCAAACAAGCGTTCGCGTTATACAAATATTGTTCCGAATTCATAAATCGCGTTAGAGCAAATTCGTTATCAAAACACGCGTTATACAGAACTCACTGCACGGTAAATGCATCTATCTCAAGTCGAGCTGATTGCGTGGAGCATTTACTTGCCCTGGTTAAGTGACTTTTGAAATTTTCTTGCCCTAATTATATATATATATATATATATATATATATATATAAATATATATATATATATATATATATATATATATATATATATATATAAAAACACACAGTGTGTGTGTGTATATATATATATATATATATATATATAATATATATATATATATATATATATATATATATATATATATATTATAAAAATATTATATAATTATAAAAAAATATTGTATATATATATATATATATATATATATATTAATATATATATATATACACACACAGTAGAAGTCCAAAATCCGACTGCTTGGGATTGGGTCCGGTTTTCCGGATCTCAGGCAGTACTTTTAAAATTCAAATTTAAGGAGGAATAAAGAAGAGATGAACAGGTACATTTTGATAGTCTATTCATTAGCAAATATAGCATGCTTCATTGATCAAACGAGCAGTTTAAAAGAAAAAGCTGTGAATTCCAGAATTTAACTTTGCCTTTTTATATCATAAATTGTAGACTCTTTCCAATGTCAGATGTTTCCATTAGAAACAGTATTGCTCACACCACGTTCTAGTTTCTTAATTATTTCAAGTTTGTCACTCAATTTCAACGTTCTTTCTTTTCTCTTCACACAACAGTTTATCTACTTCTAGAGCCATTATTATGGGCTTGTACAGTACTCTGTAAATGGAAAAGAGGACTAAAATTACATATGTTGTCAAGACAGGTATTAAAGTGGCGACCACGTGGTCGCTTGTTGTCGCCAGTAGCCAGGCGCCACGACACGCACATACACATAAAAGCACACCAAAAAAAAAAAAAAAAAATCAGATTAGCCTCCCCCACAGGTCACTGACCCACATCGGGGCCTGGGGAAGGAGTACAATGATAATGATACATTAACAATACTAAAGAACCATAAAGAAATGCAAAAAAAAAATCAAGAGTGAGAAACAATATACCTATATGTATGTTAGAAGTGTTAATAGTAAGAGAAACAATTGAGACCCTGCAATTGTGTGTAATGAGGAAAGTCAGATTACCAACCCAGACTTGGTCACAATTTTCGTGATGCCATATGTTCTTTTGACTTTTCCATTTTTATTTCACTGTTTTGTGCTGGTTCATATTTATTAAAGTGGTTAATGTTTAAAGCAAATTCTATTGAAATATGAAATGCAAAAGAACAATATGAATAGAGGAATTAAATGAGGTAAGGGATACTAGATATATTGAAAATGTTTGTTATATTTCCGTAGACTATTTACTATTAACCGACCTTTCGGAATATCCGTCGGCCCCTTCCCTATATGTGGGTGGTTAATGGTTTTAATATATATATATATATATATATATATATATATATATATATATATATATTTCCTCGTGGCATCATAATGGTAACTGGGAGCCTGTCCAGGCACCAGCAGGGATCATGATAGCAGGCCCCAGAGACGGCACATAAGCCCACTGGCATGTGTACAGTCCTGACACCTACCAACCACCGCCCCGCTGCCTTCGGATTAACCTTAGTAGGTATAAGGGCATGAGTAAACCCTAACGAAAATCTGCAGTGGAGCCCAACATCAGGCAGACATGCTTACAGAGCTCCAACAACACCCCAATGCAGAGAAGGGAAGAGGTGACCATGACACACCCAACGACTACACTGGTGGACGAAGGCAATGCATGATGGACAGGCTACCAAGGCGAAACCCAAAAAATCAGGCTATCGGGAATCCATCTCCCCAATC